TCGAAAACCACCGTAAAATCATATCAGATCTCCCCAAGCTTGACCGTCCATTAAACAATAGTCTGCCTACTCCAACAAAGAAATGATAAGACAAGAAGAAAACAACCAACATGTGGAAATGTGGAGTTGAAGAGCACACATCATTTAAACTGAAGGAGAAATATGCTAGATATACTTACTGAAGCTAAGATCAGATGATTCAAGTTGTAAATTTTTCCTTGAAAACATCTATGTACAGTATATCAACAGGTTTTATTCATTCCTTTGGGCACCTGTTGCGCCATAATCAGAACAGACTTGTTCCAGTATTGGTATGAATCACAGTTTATTGCCAAGCTCAGTGAAGATCTGTATAAATTCCTTTAACTGATAAATTTAAAAACACTTACCGTTACCTTAATGATAATTTTCCTTTAAATATTCAAGACTTTTCTAAATATACTACTGATTGCAATAAACGTAATCTATGTATAACTGGTAAATTATTAAGTCAGTCGTTACAACAAATAAAACAACACTTTCACTAAATTATTTCATAGATACAAATATTTTGATAGAAAATTGTCTGTACCTTGCGTGTCTTATCAAAGACGGGATATCACATACTTATTTGTACGATCATGTTGTTAATAGAGCCCCTAAGCGTAAATATGATTCATGTACACTCATTGATCATTTGAATAAACTTATTCTTAACGGTTACCAATCTAACACTGTAGTTAAATCTTTAAATATTATTTTATCTATACTAACATTAATTTTGATTTTGTAGAACTATTATTCTAAATTTAAATTGCTGTACATGAACAGTAATGAATATTTATGATTCTACAGATTCGATGCTGTGTACTTATGTTTTGGCATTGCATAATGTCATGCGATTCTTTCAGATTTTTAATGATCTCTTTACACTAAACCCGTTGTATGTGTACTGTTTGATACTTTATTCTGGGAGAAAAATGATCCATTTCTTAGTTGTAATTGTCTTTGAACTGGCTTATATATAGTTTATAGTAAGTGCTCTTATATCGGTGCGTTGTATCTTTTTTTTTTTTTCATGTTAGTTGTTTTTTATTCTTCCTACTTGACCTTTGAAATAAGTTATTTGCAGTTGATTTTTACAATTTCTTCTAATAGAGTGCTGTTACAACACTGATCCAGGTAAGGCTCACAAACATGTTTAACCCCGCCACAATCTTTATGTGCCTGTCCAAAGTCAGGGCCGTGCAATTAAGTGGTTTTCATTGGTTCCTGTCCGTCGTAGTCATTTGTCGTAAGTTGTATTGTTATACATAAAACCGTTAGTTTTCTCGTTTGATATGTTTCAAATTTATGATATGGGTTTTGTCCCTTATTGAAGACAGTGGGTGACCTATAATTGTTTACGTTCACGTCCGTCATTTGAACTTCGGTGGGATAGTTGTCTTAACGGCAATCATACCACATCATCCTATTTTATAAACCACCATTCTTGGTTGTCTGGATTTGAGATCATCTTTTGGACACGAAGTTCAAAATTTTAATTTTGACAGATGTCGAAAAAAAATTATCATATATTAAAGAAAAAAAATTTATAGAAGGGAAATTCTTAAACAAACCTCCATTAAAAGTAAAAGTTATATATTTCATATACAAAATTTGTGTGTTTTTTTATTAAAGATGTATTTCATAGCAAAATTTTACCATAAAAAGTAAAAATTCAAAATTGTATAAAAACTGTTTTCAACCGCAATATTCAGAGTTGGATAACGTTATGGAAGTATGTAAAATTCTTGAAAAAAGTTATATTGTGGAAGACTATTAAACAGACGCATAAATATTTAGTGTAATATTTACCATTATTAATTGTATAGCATGCAATAAATTTTTACAAAACATAACAACAATTCGCAATTATTTTGATATTCTATTATTGACTGACCAACTGTTTGCTTGGATCATTGATTTGGCTGATATTTATCATAAACTTTTATATTTGTTGGGTTATTTACATGCATTAAACTCAATCCGTGTCCATCCTTTACATCAATATCACCTACATTATTATGATGATGTGAAACTGGCTTTAGATAATTAACTGTTTAATCATTTGACGTTCCAATAGCTTCAGTTGTGATTCGGTAACCTTTTCATTTTGCATGGAGAATTTGAGCTCATTTTCTAATATTCGACTGGGCTTTTTTTTATTCTGCAGTAATAGCTTTTAATACCGACAAAATGAATTGATTGTTTTCAACTATTTCCTGAATAGACTCTATAAGTAAAATACAAATTTTATAAATTTCTTGCGTCTTTTTTCTTTATTTACTTTCATAAGGAACACTTAAACCTAAAAATTGATAGCCATTGGTGCGTAAATACCCTGAAACGTTATGAGCTATAAGAACAAAAGCAAAATTGTACCGTTATAATGTCCCCTCAAATGAAAATACAATCCAATTACACAATTAGACGGCGGAATTCAGATGGATAAAAAACTTCCCAACTGTTTGATTCGTTTGCTGTAATGTCAATGACGTACTTTAATTTGTTATTGCGAAGCAAATGCGACGATAATATGCAAAACACGCTTTTAAACAGATCACGATAAATAGTGAATGCCGTATGCCATGTGAGAGTCCTCGGTTCCGAGCCAAATGCTTTAATGAATAGTTTTGATGCTACGCCGCTACACACATGGCATATAGAAGTAAGAACAAAGACTGGTCGACTTGAGTCATAATAATGTGGAGGTATATGGTGATAGATCTTCTTGCCGATGTTACATTATTTGATCTAGCACAATAAATGAGTTTCAAAATTAACACCAACACGTGGTTTCTGTATTGCGAAGTTTATTCAAACATGTATTTCATTAATATGGTATTATATTGACATCCGTTTACGTTTTTAAAAATTTTGGCCACTATATATTGCACTTTGTAAATACAGCTGTTTCATAAACCACGCCTCTTTTATATAGATATATAATATTCATAGATATTTTGTTTTGTTTACGTACTGGTTCCCAGATATGATCTCTATGTTTCATCTCATAGAGACATAACTTGGGAATGTTACCAGTATAAATGCACATGGTAGGCGGTGGAATTGAATTCTGAGTAAGACATAAAGTGAAAGAGAGGGGTAGTGCAGAAATTTAGTATAAGTTTTAACTCTTAGAAGTTCGGGGCATATAAATCTTGAAAATATGCCGCACAGCCCTATGTTTTGACCTTTGAATAAAAAAAGTAGTGCATGTTAACTTTCCATTCTAGGATAAAAAAATTACGAAACTTCATAGTAAAAGTGGCACAGTTTTAGCCGTAAAGGGAGTTCCTATGGGAAATTGAATTGTCTATATTTACAGAAATGCAACCTGTATATGCATGGACTGTACCACAGAGCTACTATTCTTCACATCCATAAAAAAGATGAATGTACCTCCATAGTAAACTAAATAAGTCACTTCCATGTCTACAGCTGTCTGTACCACAAAGCTACTTTTCTTCACATCCATAAAAAAGTGATGATTGTTTGCGTTCTGTTCACGTATGCCAGTTTTCAACTGAATTTTTATTCACTTCTATTTATAATAATTGTCACGAGTGCATTTAAAATTACGAAAAAAATGCTGAAATAATTAAGTCTTTTTTTGGGAATCAAATTGTCAAATTCATATCATGTTAACTGAACAGTGTTACCATGGGAAATATATATTTCGTGCATTGGAATTCATTATGTTCTATTTGTTTCACATCATTAATAAAAACTTATTTGAACTTTAATCTATTTTGAACAATTCAAGGACGCCTCCCTGATTTAATAAACATTGTGGAATATTTAAGTGTCATATATAATTATATATGTGTTTCCGTTATTATAGCCATTATCTCGTTTCATATTCATCGATCATGGCATGACTGAATGAAACTATTTACCAATATGTCCTATGTTGTGTGCGACATGGCAGGTGTCCTTGTGCAGGTAATCCCCCGCTATTTTTCAGCATTATAACTTTTCCCTTTTTTACTTTTTATTTTTAGTTTTATTTTCATATTTATATGGATGTTGTTTATGTGTTGTTCAATCTTTATATTAATGTGTTATTCTGTGTTGACTGTCTTAGTCTATTTAAGGATGTTCCCTTCTCTGTTTCAAAATAACAAGCTTTTTAAAAGACTGTTATAAATTAATAGTATATAAATAAATAAACTAAAAAAGCAGAAAAAATGAAGGGTCCGTGTGCTTGTTTTCGAGATAAAAGCCATTGAAAATTTGGCGGGAATTAATTCTCTCTAGATTTTTCATACATTAAACATTGGCACCTTTCTTTCTTTCAAAAACGATGAAAATATAACAAGGATTTTATAAGATTTTCAAAGATGACATTTTAAACTATATGTAATCAAATTATGGAAAGAAAAGTAGGGGTTAGTGGGCAAAATTTTTACTGGCACATGGATAAAACCAGAGGATTCCGGATATCTGGCAACAATTCAAAAACAAGAGGAGCGAACATCCTTAATTTGTTATCAATTGGCCATGGTTATTAGTTCGTGTTGCTCAGTCTTTAGTTTTTTATTATGTTTTGTTTCCTGTTGTTTGTCTTTTTCTTTTTTTTTACCATGGAGTTGTCAGTTGGTTTTCGATTTCTAAGTTTGAGTGTCCTTTTGGTATCTTTTGCCTCTTTTTATATCCGCCTTTCTTCGTCAAAAACCTTTCAACTAAACTCATATGCAAATACGATCAGTTCTTTTACATATCTAACAAGTTCATGGTGCATTTTCAGTGATACTCGATTTTGTTATATTGATACTCCATAATTCAAATATATCAACCGTTGAATAAAACGACGAAAAAAGTGAGTAAAAATTGTACAATTTTACAAATATATTTAAGGCCAGACAGAATATGACTTTTTTCAATTTAAAGAATATAATATTTAATGATAGAAACGAAGCAGTTTTAGTTGTTTAAGTATGTTAATCTAAAACAAGTAACATTAGAAAACGTAAAGGTGCCATATTTATATTTAATACAATAAACAACTGGGTAACCTCCATATTAAACTAAATAAGTCACTTTCATGTCTACTGCTAACAATTATTTTGCCTATCTATTCTAGAGCCTATGGAAAACAAAAGACTTTCCTAAAAGAGTGCAATCGTTGTCACAGTATTTTGTTGTTCTTTTAGTATTTTCCACCAAATTTTTCAACTCACTGACCTTCAAGGTATCAATAAAATCAATAACGGATTTTCCGTCTCTATCTTTTCTTGAAAGATCGACATGTTGCAGGTTCGGTATAGGGAATGCAATCACATCTTGGTCTTTTTTTGTGAGAAAAATATTTCATCAACTATGGAAATCTCAATACTTATTGCAGGCTTCCAATATAAAAAGTGACGCTGGTGTTTAGATAATACTCTCAATCAGTTACGACTTTCACTGAATACACATTCGAAAGATCGCAGTAAATCCTCTGGTCTTTTAGTATTTTCCACCAAATTTTTCAACTCACTGACCTTCCAGGTATCAATATAATCAATAATGGATTTTCCGTCTCTGTCTTTTCTTGAAAGATCGACGCGTTTTGCAAGAAAAATGTTCATAATAGCTACGATGTTGTGTACACACCTTTCTGTTTCGGGTTTCAAGTTGTTAGTAAATTGATGATATTGATGAACAAGTAGATGGAACGGAGTCTGTCCAAGACTGTTACTCATATTCATGTCCCATCCTTGGGCTATCAGAATACGGATAACAGCCACACGCAAGGATGCACAATATCCATCATCGTTATCTCCTATTGTACACGCGTAATGCAATGGCGTATTACCGAATTTGTCTTGTATATTTTTATCTCCCCCTGAATATTCAAAATGACTTAAAAGTAAAAGCAGAATTTTGAACGAATCCGGTGTCATCATAGTAGTGATAATATGAAATGAATTTCGTCCCTGTGTATCTTTTTGGAATGGGTCTGCTCCGTATTTTAACATTTCCCTTACAACCGAAAGACTGTTAAGTTTATAATATACTAGCATGTACTGAAAGGATGATTTCCCATTTTGATCAATAGATAATTCTTCTTCCTGTACAGAATCGCTAATTTCCATTGGTTCCGATCCCAGTGAATTGTCTGCTTCTCGTTTTTCTCTGTTTACGTCAGCGCCGTTTCTGAGCATTTCTATAACAGCGTGGGGTTGGACATGTAATCGCATAGCAACATGCAAAGGTGTTTCGCCATTACCGTTGTACATATTAATATCAACACCCCGTTCAACAAGCGCTGTTAAAGTTGTTGTTGATACTTGGAAACTATGACTGTATTTAGAATAGGAAACAACTAAATGATGTATGGCATTTCCTGTTTCGTCTTTTTCATCAGGAGAAACAATCTTTGGAAGAAATCTTACAGTTCTTGTTCGTAATCTGTTTACTTGTGCAGCTAAAATCAATGGACGACCTACTTCTAAGTTTGCTTTGCTGTCCTGTAGAAGTTTGATGCACTTTAAAACATAGTCGTCACCTGCACTTGACATAATACAGTGGTGGAAGGGGGATAATCCATCCTTATCCTCAATATTTGGATCAGCACCAAATTTCAGAAAGAGTTTAATAACTCTATACATATCGTTTCTATGGTATCGACATGCCAATAATGCATTGACAATCAGAGGTCTACCTTCACTATCTTTTTCATTGATGTCATTTATGTTATTCAGTAATAAATTTAATACTGAAATTCGTCTGCGTTTTTCGTGTATTTTAGAAATACAACTTGTCAGTATGATATGTCTATCGTCACCATGAAGGTTCATTTCTGCTAACAAATCTTTTTTGTTTGCTGTTTCAATAAGTGACAATAGTATCCATGTTTGTACATTCAATTTATGTGAATCTCTAGAACATACATTGACAAGCGAATTTATTTCGTTTTGCAATAGTTCTTGACAACACTGATATACAGTTTCAATAATCAAAACGTTAGAATTCGTCAAAAAATATTCGATATTTTTTAGGAAAAATTCTTTAAGAAAGTCAACCTTGTACAATAATTCAATTACGTTTTGAGCATCTTTAGTGAAACGATTTGATTGGTCCTGGATACAGCATAGTCTTTGGAGTGGAATTTCCTTGGATCGGTTTTCGATGAATACTTGGAGATCTAACTGTGAGTTCTGCTTCAGCAGTTTACCGATTTCTAATTTTTCAGAGCATGTACATTTGAATAGACAATGTAAGGGCGTTTCGCCATTATTGTTTGCTATGTTTGTTACTGCACCAGCATTTAACAAGATACTGACAAGTGAATGTCTTGTAGAATGGAGAAGCTTATTAACATCTGTGCAAGAGCAAGCTAAATGCAGTACTGTGTTTCCAGAAGAGTTATGTTGATTTACTATACGTTTCCGTTGTTGTGATGTCATTGATTTTAAAACCATGTCGACTATCTTTGGTGTGTCTTTAATTTTATGATCTGGTGAAACCATATAATGTAAAAATGTATTCTTTTCGTCATCTGTAAGGCTGAAATTGGTCCCACTGTCAATCAAATCCCGAACAAGTTTCTCAGTTATTTTGCCGTTTAAAGCAAGTTTCATACCAATTGTGTATCGCTCCCTTCGTGTGTCCTCTTCACTCGACTCTATGCCATACTCCGTGCTTTCTCTAGTTACTTGTGTGCTGACATTAGTTTCCAAAGATTCCGATGACATTGTTGGACATAATGTACTTGTTAATAAGTCCATTTCTTCCACGTCATCGTCTTGTAAATTCGGGAAGATATTTGGAAGACTCTTCAAATAATTAGCACAGTAAATTGAAGAAGCCTTAAGCGGTTTTGAATCTCTAGGTATGACATATATTTTCAATCCTGGTTGATCGTCTGTTATCATGTAGCCTTGTTCACTAATACTGTGTTCCTTTACTTGATAATTTATGTTTGCTTTATACTTTATTAACAAATGAATTACTTCAAGAGATGTAGCAGTAAAAATTGGGGTGCGATTACATTTGTCAGCTGTGTTTAATATTCTCTGTACTTCTTTCTCGGGAAAACTCTGCAGAATAAATTCTATTATTTCGATGTTTTTTATAAAATGAAGGACTGTTTTGCCATCAAAATCTTCTATTCTTATTGAATTGCCCATTTCTAACATTTTCTTGCATATAGCCACACTATTAGAATAAAAAATTGGAGTTCTTCCGTCTTTATCTCTTTGCTTAATGGAACAACCTTTATCTATGAAATACTGAATTAAACTATCATGTTGCACTCTATGCAACAATGTTTTACCATGCCCGTCTGTCTGTTTATAATCTTGATCGATATTTCGATCTTCCAAATATTGAACCATACCTATACTTTTTGCAAAAGGCAGCAACGACTGGGTTGTAATATTCTGAGATTTCGATATCAATAATTTTGCAATATCAATATTGTCATAAACGACAGAGTACCAAATTGCTGTCCTTTCGTGTGCATCTTTCCAGTTGACGTCTATTCCCCCATCAAGTAAAGTTCTTATAGCTTTCAACGAGTTGTCTGACTTTGATATACTGTTACCATCTTTCACGAAATTTAGTACTGCTCCCACTAATGGTCTGTGGTTTGAAATTGCTTTAAACTTAGCTTTGTAATCAAGTAAAAACAACAATGTTTCATTTTTACGTAGGTTCTCACCAAAGATCGTCGCTTGTATAGCAGACATTCCTTCTCTGTCATGAACCGTACACCAATCACAGAAATGAGTTTGAGATACTCTTTTTTCGTGGATAGAACTATTAACGTCTGCCATTAGATTGATTAAACCCTTTAACATATGAGACGGGAATCCATACCAGCAGGCTGGTACAAATGCAGCTGATGCTTGTATACGAACCCAAAATTTGTCCTCAATACAGTCATAGAACTTGCGACTAAGCAACAATAAGCAAAGTTGAAAAGCATTAAGAGAAGAAGCCCAGTATAACAAAGATCCATTTAACAATGCCAATTGATGGTTTTCCTGTTCCGTGACTTGTAAAATAAAACGAAGCCTGTTTATATCATCTCTTCTTAAGCTCTCCAACAGACCAATGAAGCTGTTCACAAACCGTTGAACTGCAAACGCTTGATGTTTACAAACTTCAATGATGTTCCCACGTTTGATTTCTTCAATAAATCTTGCAGAAAGATCTTCGTACTCGGCCTCTCGTATCGTAACAACTTCATCATCAATTGATTTCTTAAACTCAGTAGTTCGAACACGCTTAACAATGAATCGAAATGGAAGCCATTTTATTGCCTCGTGCTCTAATGTTTCACTGAAAGACAGACAAACGGCCTCTAAAACACAAGAGTGTGTAAATTGTATCGTTGTGCCTTCTTGTGAAATATATGCATCATCAACTCTTTTCAATGCTGATTTTAGGCGCGTGGTGAACTGTCTTACAGTTGGGAAATGAACAATGTTTTGAAGTAGATAAAATTCATCACTTTCACTACAAAGTCGGTTAAGAGTAACTTCTTTGATTTCTCCATCCCTAATAAGTAAGAATACAAGAAGAGCATATACATCAGCATCAGCCTTATGTAATCGGTGTATCTCTTTTCTAACATATTCGATGGGAGATGTAAAGAATTCACTACCTTTATCAAAAAGCTTATCGTTCTTTGTAAACATATGGACACAATTCGGATAGCCAATTGGACAATTGCTATCTATTATTTTCTGCTTCTCTAAAGCTAAAATCTTTTTATGTGCTCTATATTTTAATAGATGCGTGTCGAGGATTTCCATACGTTCTGATGGCAATAATCCGACATCCGACAAGTCAACAATGTTGGTTTTATCAAGTAACTGATTTGACTTGAGATATTCCAAGACTCTTGACAAAACACTTTTTCTGCATGTCATTACAACGAACAAACAGTCTTCATTTTTTATTTCATCATCAAAAATTAGACCAATATGAGTTATCAGTCTTTGATTATCATCATCCTTGTCAGAAGAGTAGGTGAACCCAAATAAATCATCGATCAAAACAACTTGTTTCTTTCTCCACTGAACCAGTTCTCTCCACTGTGTAATGTTGTCAACTTCCCTTAAACTGTACCCTTCAGACATCTTTTGATTCACAAGCTTCATAGCTATAAACGATTTCCCTTCACCTGATGAACCAGTAATCAACACGTGATGGTTTTTATTGAGTTTTTCCTCTGCATCAATATATCCTCTAGTTTCTACAAATAGATCTTCTACAGCGTTGAACTGCTTTAGAAAGTTCTCTTCCCCTAAAAAGGTTGATCGAATAATAAATTCCTTGAAAATAGAGACTATATTTACAATCGATAGAAAAAAAAACAAAGCCTATAGGGTATCCATCCATGACACAAACTCAGTACATACACAGCAAAAAACACAAAAAAGCAAAGGAACAGTGCTTGTATTGCAGTTCTTCACCTCAAAATCACATCGAGGTCTTCAACAGTGATGCCTTTTAGACCTTAATTATGATATTAGGCAGAAATGGTAGAATATTCAAAAGTTCTGTATTATATTTCCATACTCCGCAGTCATCTAATGTAACATAATAAATGGTAATTTAGTTACATGTTTCATTATAAGGTTTTCAGTTTATGCACTATGTTTTTATTATTCTCAAATTAAGTGATTTAGTGATTGATATGTGTTCAATGTCACTTTCATCACTAATGGCTATTTCGTGTCGGTAAGTTTGTTTTAGTGGAGGGAGCCGTAGTGACTGGAGAGAACTTCGATCTTAAGCAGGAAAATCCTGACAAAGAAGTATTTTTCTTTCATAGCCATGTTTAGAAATTATTATTTTCTAAATCAATAAATTTGTTTCACTTATCAGGGACTTGACTTTTTGGCAAATTTTGGCAAATCTACCATTTTCTACATTAGGAAATGCCTGTACCAAGTCAGGAATATGACAGTTTTTTCCCTTCGTTTGATGTGTTTGAGCTCTTGATTTTGTCATTATAGGAAGGACTTTCCGTTTTGAATTTCCCTTGGAATTCAATATTGTTGTTTATTTTACTTTTTTTACTAATCTGATGAAATAAACAAGAATGTGTCCATAGTACACCGATGCCCCACTCGCACTATCATTTTCTATGTTCAGTCGACCGTGAAATTGGGGTCAAAACTATAATTTGGCATTAAAATTAGAAAGATCATATCATAGGGAACATGTGTACTAAGTTTAAAGTTGATTTGACTTCAAATTCATCAAAAACTACCTTGACCAAAAACTTTAACCTGAAGCGGGACAGACGAACGGACGGACGAACGAACGGACGCACATAATAGAAATATAATGCCCCTTCTACTATCGTAGGTGGGGCACAAAAATGAAATATGAGATTCGAACTGTGATATAAGTCCAAAAATCACAAGAACTAATTAATGATTGGGTGCGAAATAGTTTAAATTTACAACATAAACTAGTCGCGAACAAAAAATGAACTTTTGACCACATTTGGCCTATTAAAATAAAAGTAATAACTAACAAAAACACAAGTAGGGATTTACAAAAATTGGGGTAGACCTTGAGGAAGGTTAATAACTGTGAGGTTATAATTTGTTGTAATCATGTTCGTTAACGTGTTTTTAAGAATTGATGTAAAACAGATTTCAAATTATCTAATATGTAACTTGTGATCTCAGCTGAATATATTTATAAAACTGGATGACATAACATACAAGCGATTTTGAATATGTGGTTTTACCTGTGTCTATTTCTTCGGGGTTACGGTTTAATTAAGTGACAATAAAGACTTTAATGGTATTTTGTAGTAAACTGTTTCTTATTCTTCCAAGTAAGTCGATTGAATTGTCTTGTAATTAACCTTAATAGCCAATAAGTATGCTTATTGTAACAAATCCAAAGCAATAATGTGAATACATTGAGTTACATTTTTGTAATTATAAATCATAGAATTTTATAACTCATGCTTACGTTGTATATTTCCTTCCTCTTCAGTTCTTCGTATGTTGTAAGTTACACTTGCTATTTTAATTGTTTTTTGGTCCCCAAAAATAAAAGTGTCTCCTTTTAAGTTTAAAACTGAAGCTATAAAAAGAAATATACTAACACTAAAAATCAAATTAAAATATCATGACTAATAGAGACGTTGTATAAAGGTCACGACAAAGCAACCTAAGGACATGAAAAATATCAAAAAGGACGAAATGACCATTCCTTCCAAAATAACTAAATGTACAATTGAAAAACTCTGTTTCATTGATGTAAATGTTATTAAGTTTATATATTAATGAGTGTAAGTTGTATTCCACTTAACCTGTAAAAAAAAATGCAGAATAATTTAAAATATCGATTTCTAATAAAAGAGGTTATCTAAATCTATGTAGAGTCAGAATAGAGAGCACAACCTTTCGGCTTAACTGCATTGTCAAATTTATATGATTTATATTTTTGTTTTCTCGTTAGAGGAAAAATGAATCGTTGAAAATTGTCAAGCATCAAGATTTCACGTATTTCATAATTATATCTAACTTATTTGTTTTTTTTACATTAACTTTTTCATTTGTCACATTTTTTTTTATCAATTATAACAAAAAGTTGCCAATTATATCTATATTTTGCAATATAAGAATATTCTAGATTTTGCAATATATATAGACGTATATTTAATGATAACAACAGTAATTTATTAGTTATTAACATTATCATTCATTGAAATACAAACGATGACTTTTTGGTCACATTTAGTTGTAACGAAATGTAAAACATACAACCTAAGCCAGGCGGAAACCCAGTTGAAATAGAACAAAAGAATCGAAGCTCTTTGTTAGAGAAGGCAATAAATGCTTACTGTAATGTTTACTATAGTAACAAAATTTTTAAAAGTTCATAGAAACAAATAAAATGACAATTTTTGGCTAAATTACGAAGTATTTTATCATAAAAACACAATTTGCTTAAGTTTTCAATTTATCTATTACATAATTAAGCAGAACAATTAGATATCAAGTCGACGACATGGGTGTCTATTCAGTTGGATCTGAAAAATGCATAACCTCCGATGTTTATTTTTTTACCACGGACGGAGAACATATCAATCTCTTTGTTCCTTAATTTTCGTTTCTGCCCTTCCATTATGTAACTCAAGATAAAATGAAAAAAAAAAATGGTAACAATTGCATCGAAAAGATAAAATCGAGTGCACCTTTTTATGTTAGGGCGTGTTTGAGTTAAATATTTTGTCTTGAAAACATATAAAGCAAGAGTATTTGATACATCATCTCGCTTAAGATTCTATTATTTTTATATATCAAGGCTACAGGTTGACTTTATAACATCGAAAGTTCACAGTACTAAACAATTGAATATATGGGTCAAGTGAAATACCTTTCTAATGAATCACAAAAACAGAGTAGGTGTGTTCGAATAGCAAATTTTTACTAAAGTACTTGACGACTGATTTTTAAGTTGGATCTTAAAAATGTATATCTTCGAAAAAACTTCATTTTTTGTGTGTGATAATTAGGGTTTATAGTCTTCAACCACTGAAAATTTTTAGTCTGCCCTACCACGAAATATTTAATTAGAATTTTTTTAAATGTTTGTGAATTTCCGAAAATTCCACCTGACAACCGATCCGACAATAGTTTTAAGTTGACTGAATGCAGACAAGTACATTAACTGATGCTCATTAGCTAGTAGATACATTTGTCTTTTAAAATACACCTGGCATATAAGGATCGTAATGGTGCTATGTGGATAAATTTATCGGTTTTCAAGAGCTAAATTGGAAGCGCGTCATCCCTACAATGGCTTCCATTTTTACGATTGTAAAAATGAACTGGCGTAATGGGGAGATAATTTTGACGAAGTAGAATCCTGACTGAAGCAGTTCCTGTGTAGCGTTTATTGGCCTTTTTAATCAACATTACCTCATGTACCTGTTACATATATTACGTTGTTGATGATTTTTCAATTATAATCCTGATTGACAACTTTATTAATTATTTTGGCAAGTTTCAGGAATGAATTTCATAGTAACTTAAAAAAAATTGATATTTTTGATGGTTTACATTTGAAGAAACACGAAACAGCCGTTATGTTATACCTACTTCCTGAAGTACATCCATCTCCAAGAACAGATGATATGCCGCCAGTCAATGGACAGTCATTAGTTCCAATATTACTCTCCATCGACACTGAAATATAATTTACTTAAGATTTCAATTTCGAAAAGTTATGTACCGAATCTAAACACAAATACTGTAGCGGTGTCATGGTAAGAAAAATTAAAGTTTATTGATATAGACAATATATATTTTCCAATGGATTAATATCTTCAATAATGTTTTGACTTTCTTGAGAAATGTAGATATTAAACTGAGTTTTTATGAGTGTTGTGTAGTCGAAACACGCGTCTGGCGTACCAAATTATAAGCCTGGTATCATAGATGATTTTTGATGGTCAAGTCAAGCCACATGAATCTGTTTGTTTATCGACTGTTGAGGGGCCTGATGGGTTATTTTCGTTCTTCGTGATCGGCGCATTTTCGCTATCGTGATCCGTTTTTCTACATATTTATTTTGTTTTTATATTTTCGTGATCCATGATCATGGAAATTTATTTTCTGTGAATCGTGATTGACAAAAAAATCAACTCGTGAATCGTGATGTGACCCCCCCCCATCAGGCCCCTCACTGTTGTCACTACGACATTTGAGGATGTTTATATTGTTTGTACGTGTAACAGAACTTCTCACATAACCAAAAACACCCAACTAAATATTTAACACTGAGATAAATGCATTAGCACTAATTAAACAATCTCAAGAAATATCCAGATTTTTAAGAACATATCAATTCTTGTAATGTGTAACATAGGTAGTCGTCTTATGTGCTATTTTATCCACTGTATATACATGTACTTGTTAGTATAGGCGGGTGAATGAAGGACAAAAGGTAAATGCTCAATCCCAACCCATGCCCTTATAACCTCACTACGACGTTTGATCTTTTTTTTCGTCATTTTTTTTGTTATTTTTCTCTGTTATCTTTTATAAAACTCTTTGTCTCATTTGAGGTAATATAATCATACATGATATTCTCTTTACTAAATTCATTGTTTATGCCATAACCAATAGTAATATGTCCCCGATTAGTGATTTGGTAGAGCGAACGTTCTCTCGTTGGTCTATTCTTTCGCTCATGCGTACTACAGTCCAGCTTTGTATCATCAACTGATCCTGAACCACTTGACATAATAGTGCCTGTACCAAGTCAGGAATATGACATTTGTTTTCCATTTGTTTAATGTGTTTGAGCTTTAATTTTGACCATTTGATAAGGGACTTTCTGATTTGAATTTTCCTTGGAGTTCGGTATTTTTTGTTATTTTACTTTTTTCTTAAAACTTTCACAGAATCTCTCATGGTGGACTTTTGCATTACTTATTTCATTTCGTCATCCAATCTTATTTTGACTTTCGTTTCAACACAGTATAGTCAGGACAATTTATACTTGTATCCGCTTCGCCTCCTAAACCCCTCGTCAAAGTTCATTGAATTATTCTCAGAATCTTTACCATATACTCCCATTATTTATATTCCTTAAAATGTTTATTTATCTTTGGAGTATTTCTTAGCAAAAATGAACTTTGTCACTCCTTTAGTTGATGGATGTTAGCAGCCGGTTTGTTCTTCGATAATCGATATTCAATATCCAACCGGCTGCTATCAGTCGGTTCGATATTCAAATTTAGTTGAAAATCATAAAAAATATAATATTTGATAACATTAAAAGCATGATTTTTATAGTTGAAAGGAGTGAAAAGATACGTAGGAAATCGTTTCATGACTCCTTCAAGTTGTCTTAAACTCTCGTTGTCCTCAAATATAAATCCTTATCAATGCTTATGTAATTTGCATATTTGTCTTTATGTTATATAGATTTTTATCAATAAAACGACATAAAAACTGTAATTTTATATCTAATATTTCTTAAAACAAAAACAAAAACCGATCACACTAGAAAAAATTTAAAAATATAAATAGAAATATATATGGAAAGCCCCAAAAAAAGAAATACATAGTGAAAACCTACCTGAGACCGCTTAAATGACGGTGAGACCCCCCTGTTCTTTCAATGTCCATAAAATTCATAGACTCTGTATAAATAAAGATTGTATCAAAAGGATTTCCCAGAATAATGTCATCTTCGATATCTACGGAGGGCTTAGATTGTCACTTTTCTGTTAAAAATTCTCAAAATTTCAGGACAAAGGGCACAGGGCAATGGTGAGAGCCCCCTGATCTCTCAATCTGCCTAATATTAAGCAGAAAGTTAGTTAATAGGTAGATACAAACGTGACTTAGAGGAATTTGGGTACACTTCTTGTCTTCTATGTTTACGGAGGGCCATAAGTGTCAGTTGGATATTCAAAATATATAGTGAAAACCTACCTTAGACCGCTTAAATGACGGCGAGACCCCCCTGGTCTTTCAATGTCCATAAAATTCGACGAATTCATAGACTCTGTATAAATAAAGATTGTATCAAAAGGATTTCTCAGAAAAATGTCATCTTCGATATCTACGGAGGGCTTAGATTGTCACTTTTTAGCTTAGAATTGTCAAACTTTTAGGACAAAGGGCACAGGGCAATGGTGAAAGCCCCCTGATCCCTCTATCTGCCTAATATTGAGCAGACAGTTAGTTATTAGGTAGATACAAACGTGACTAAAAGGAATTTGGGTACACTTCTTGTCTTCTATATTTACGGAGCGCCCAAAGTGCCAGTTGGATATTCAAAATATATAGCAAAAACCTACCTTAGACCGCTTAAATGACAATTTTTAGCTGAAAAGTGACAATCTAAGCCCTCCGTAGATATCGAAGATGACATTATTCTGGTAAATCTTTCTAATACAACCTTTACATATACAGAGTCTATGATTAAGTTGAATTTTATGGACATTGAAAGACCAGGGTGATCTCACCCTCATTTGAGCGGTCTCAGGTAGGTTTTCACTATATATTTTGAATATCCAACTGGCACTTTGGGCGCACCGTAAACATGGAAGACAGGAAGTGTACCCAAATTCCTTTTAGTCACGTTTGTATCTACCTATTAGCTTAATTTCTGCATAATATTAGGCAGATTGAGAGATCAGGGGGCTCTCACCATTGCCCTGTGCCCTTTGTCCTGAAATTTTGACAATTTTTAGCTGTAAAGTGACAATTTAAGCCCTCCGTAGATATCGAAGATGACATTATTCTGGAAAAATTCTTCTAAAACAACCTTTACATATACAGAGTCTATGATTAAGTTGAATTTTATGGACATTGAAAGACCAGGGACGGGGTATCACCCTCATTTAAGCGGTCGCAGGTAGGTTTTCACTATATATTTTGAATATCAAACAGGCACTTTGGGCGCTCCGTAAACATGGAAGACAGGAAGTGTATCCAAATTCCTTTTAGTCACGTTTGTATCTACCTATTAACTAAATGTCTGCATAATATTAGAAAGATTGAGAGATCAGGGGGCTTTCACCATTGCCCTGTGCCCTTTGTCCTAAAATTTTGACAATTTTTAGCTGAAAAGTGACAATCTAAGCCCTCCGTAGATATCGAAGATGACATTATTCTGGGAAATCCTTCTAATACAACCTTTACATATACAGAGTCTATGATTAAGTTGAATTTTATGGACATTGAAAGACCAGGGGGTCTCACCCTCATTTAAGCGGTCTCAGGTAGGTTTTCACTATATATTTCTTTTTTGGGCTTTCCATAAATATTTCTGTTTATATTTCTAAATGTTTCTAGAGTTATAGGTTTTTCCTTTTGTATTAAGAAATATCATATATAAAAGTACATATTTGAAGTTGTTTTATTGATAAAAATCTATAAAGACATATATGCAACTTAGAAAAGGGTTTATATTCGACAACGAGAATTTACGACAGCTTGAAGAGGTCATTAAACGATTTCCTACGTATCTTATCAGTCCTCTTAACTATGAAAATCGTGCTTTTAATGTTATCAAGTATTTATTTTTTTTATGATTTTCAACTTAATTTTGAATATCCAACCGACTGCTAGCAGCCGGTTGGATATTGAATATCGAATATCGAATAACGAAACGGCTGATAACTTCACATACTTTATCTGGGTGGTACATTTCGCAACTCCTTTGAAACACCTTATAAAAATCAACTGAAACGTTCCTTGAAAGGCCATTGCGCATTTTTTTTTTTTATTATTATTTCATTTACTTTACTTGTGGGTTTCCCTTATCAAATGATGGTAGCGGGTATCATTTTGTGAGCTTTGCTAATCGTACCTCTAGTTTTTAGGTTTTTTTTATTGATTCATTTATTAATTTATCACTACCTACGGTTGGTAAATAAGAATGATGTATTTATATGTTATTTTGCATTTCCTACCTGTTTCCAAAGGAACCTCTTCCCTTGACGACGACAGATCCGTGCTAGAAGTACTCCACGTATGTTGACGACGTTTTGATTTACTTGCTGAAATTATTTCATGCATTGTCAATATCAGTTATTTAACTGCTGGTAAACTGTAAGTCCGCGAAGGTATGATCAACTCATTAGTCAGTGCTTCGATACTGGCATGATTTTTAACAAACTTTCCTTTAATTCTCTTAAAAACTAAGAAATTAATAGGAAACTATAAGGTTACACATCCCTCAGGCAAAGTTGATCTTAGATGAATTTGGCTATGTTTTGGTCAATTAGCTCTTCGCATGTCTAGTACTCATACTTTCCTAGCTTTCAAATGTTTGATTTTGAGCGTTTCTGATGAAGGTATATCCAGAAAAAAAACTTCTGACACACAAAAGTGCTATGTTCAGCAAAATCTTGATTTCAACTGTAAAACCATACCACGTCATTGCAAAGATTAGTTAACATTATGTAATTTAGATCCAGTAGCATTGCACGTTAAGTTCATATATGTGAAGAATGAGTCAATGAGAGAACAAATCAACAAGTAAAATAGCTTTAAAAAAACATCTATTGGTCAACATAACACTGGTGTCTATATCAATTATCAAGGGATAAATCGTCCCGTACATTAAGTCGCGATTAAATTAAACAAAGTATACACTTAAAAAAAAGATATCATCACCAAAATCGCCGATTCACAAAAACTTTAAGATATGACATAAAACAGCAACTTAGAAAAGACGATATATTTTAAAATTTTTTGGGAAAATGTATGCACGACCATTTAGTTCCTTCTTCGGGTACAAAATGTATTCATATATTGCAAGTGTTATTGTTGTACCTACAAACCTTGCTTTATCCAGATTTCTAATATTTGCCTATACATCGCATGGCTTTCAAATAATACATTAAGAACTGTTTTTTTTTTCATATGAAGCATTATTTTATTGTACAACTTACTGCTTGTGTCATCTGAGCTGTTCTTTCCTTGTATATTCTGTCTAGCTTGTTTAAATTCTAAACATTAAGTATGCATGTATTATTATGAATAAATATAAATAAGTAGGTATGAGGGTATTTGTCTCACTGAAACAGACCTTCTAAACCATAATAAAACATTAAAAAAAAATAGACATCAAGCAAATTAGCACAGGCTCCGATCCAAATTTTGTTTATTATGGCATTAACTGGAAAAGTCGAGTTTCAGTTTAACTTGACCGTCCGGTGAAGAGGGATGGGATGAAACAGCAAGACAACCTCCCTATATAGATCAGGAAGTGTAGAGGGAAAAACAGCCTTTTACCAAAGAGAAGTAACTATATTCTAAATCGTCACGAAGTCTAGCCAAACTATGAATAGCTTTAATATAGATCTGTCACCATTTAACATCTTTTCCAATTTCCAAGACATGGATCAATATTTGACTAAGTCATCAACTGGAAGAAAAGCTTCGGGTTACGGATGGATGCAGTTTAAGACTATGCCACAGTTACCCGATCCCATGCTCAATGAAAAGATTGACTACATCTTCTCATGCCTTTTCTACAAAAATTGGAATTGTAGATACAAATTCCTTTTTCAAGGTTACAAAAATATTACTGTGTGAAGAACCACATTGATTATAACAAAAATCATACGAAGGATGATATTACCAAACTTTTGATTGACAACATATTATTTGTTGTAATTGGTAGTATGATAATAAATAGTCGGTATTCTAATGGGCATCAATTTTATACCGCTACCAACCGACTTGTTTTAGTAATCATATAAAGCAGAATTCATACAAACCTTCTCAAGACAAAAAGAATTCTTACCAGGTTCTTTAATGTCACTTTTGTTATATTGACAATGTCCTATCACTGAATAACCTATTACAATGAGTGTTTTCGACTTATGATATATTCCAGTGAGTATCATGTTTGTTTTTCGTTTATTGTTTTGCACATAAATTAGGCCGTCAGTTTTCTCGTTTTTACTGTTTTACGTTTGTCATTTCGGGGCCTTTTATAGCTTCTAATGCGGTATGGATTTTGCTCATTGTATGAGGCCATACGGTGACACATAGATGACCCATACTTCTACGTCTTTGGTCTCTGATGGAGAGTTGTCTCATTGTCAATCATACCACATCTTCTTATTTTCATATTGACATTAAGGATAATAACGATATCAGAATGTTTACTTCATATCTTGAACTTTTTTCTTCTTATGGACACATATGGACGATTTTAAACTAGATCAATGACAAACGTGATGATTTCAACGTTCCAATTGCTATCACGTACTGATATATTCCTTTCATTTTCTCGCCGCGATATAGCTATTTTGTGCTGATGCAGCGTAAAGCAATCACCAATCAAACCTTTTATTTTATTTTTTTCTATTTTTCTGAATTTTTTCCAATCGAGTGTAAAAGAAATGTTAAATACATCTTTTAAAATAAAGATTTTACGAACAGTGAAAATGAACTAATCTGGCTGAACATAAGGATGCATCATTCAATTTTCCGTTCTTGTAGATGTTTAAAGGTAATTTTGCACCTCATACTGTCAAAATTGTAGCCAATACTGCTTCACATAAATTATTACTTTTCTACTTGGTACACCTTAAACAGTAGAAGTATTGACAAAAACAGAGACGTAACACATTAATTACCTTCAGTAACTTTCGGGGATTTAAAAGTTGACTCTTCCATTGAGGTAGAACAATGCGGTCCAGTTTCGTTGCATGCTAAAAGCAAAATGAATAGCATTTATTAAGATAAGTGAAAGTCTGATCGATTTATGTGATATAGCCCAGAACTAAGCCAAATTATCAGATGGAAATAAAATCAACAAAATACAAATTTTAAACATAATATTCAAATCACCTTTTTTACAATCCTTGCCATTTTGACCTGTATCGGGTGGACTAATTCTGCGCTTCTTACTTATGGATATTTCTGAAATAAGACAAATAAAAAAAATATTCATCACATGATTTACTTTATTAAGGGACACATATAACCATGTTTGTCGTTATTTGTGTCTTTATCATGACCATTAGTTGATTGAATTGATTTTTGGTGTTTAACTTTTAAGCACCGCTTTTGGGCTTTTTCGTGGCGGCCAGTTTGTATTAGTGGAGGAAGCCGGAGTGCCCGGAGAAAACCACCGACCTTCGATAGGAAAACTGACAATCCTAGTCAATTAACATTGGAGTCGAGTGGACCCGCATGAGCGGGGATCGAACTCACAACCTCAGTGTTGACTGGCTAGTGATTACAGTAGTAACTACTTAGACCACTCGTCCACCGAGGCCCCCATGACCATTAGTGTACGCTAGCCAGTTATCAATGTGACTGTATATTTTACACATGTGTGATTTAGTAATATATTTGCTTATCTTTTTATTTAATTTTCATGTGATAGTGATACGATATCCATTGAAGTGGGCCTTATTTTGGTATGATTCCGACGATTGAAAAGTCAGCAGACTATAATCTTTTAATTTTATATCAGACTGCATAACATCAGCCTTAAAGTGAAAAAAGGATCATAAAGACCTACATTTTCTGCTTCACTTACTTATATTTAGCTTCAAGCTAGAAGTCTTGAATTGAATGACTAACTCTCATACAATTTTATGCACCGCGCATCTAGGAGAGAAAAGCAACTGTTTATAACAAAATAAGCTAGTTTTATCAACAGTTTACCTTTCAGTTAAGAAATGAATACTTTTTTTGTAAATTATTGGGGTGTAAAAATTTGTTGACCGAAGCACATTTTGTATGAAGCGCGGAAACGCTTCATTCTAAAAATGTGAGCACGATCAACACTTTTACAACCCTATCAAATTACTAAAAGAAGCATTCATTTCTTATAATTTAATTTTTATGCTAAGACCAAGTTTTTCTTTTATTTACCTGTGCACTTTTTTGTGGACGCACGTGTCATCACGAATGTAACATTTCATTTTGATATGAAGTTTGATTTTTTGAATGACGCGCGATTGTTGTTAACCAATCAAACTAACGGATTGTCGTGAAACTTACATGAAATGTAATTGTTGCCTTATCTTAAATGTTATGTCCGATTTCAGTGCTCATAAATGGAAGTTGTTCTATAATTAGGCAAGAATAGTAAAGATGCACCAAAAAGAACATGAAAATCACCCATGAAAGTATGTCATAGTGATCTATATTATTGTACCCTTCATTGGCCTACTAGTATGTTTAGTTAACTTGATGGATATCAACTGATGTTTAAACACATCGATTCAAGTACACAATCAATTTAACTGGTTCAAGAGCTTCCTTTAGTAATAAGGTTACACGTTGTATTGAAGTATGCATGTGCTAAAGTTTGCGTAAAACTGGGTATATGTAGGTCTTATAACCAAAAAATCATTTTGTAAATAAAACTGAAATGTTCATAACTATCATTATATATAGACTATTATATTTTTTTGTTAGATTTTTTGCGAGAAGAGCAGCAGATATTTAGTGACCTACATGCATATTAGCTCGTAGAGATATAAATTAAAGGAATATATAAATATATATATATATATTATATTGTTAGCATCCAATAAATTGCAAGTCACTCTACGTTTTAGGTTTTACTGAGTTATTACAAAGGTAAGTTCTAAATTCAGCGGCCCACGTTTTAATTTCTTTTCACATTTAAGTTACACTAAATTAAAATAGCTCCATAACAACTTTAATAATTATATTAGGTAAATCAAGCCATATTCGGAATGAGGCGAACTTTAAATGTATTTTAATAGTAGGGACGAAGTTATCGGTTGTACCAAATACGACAATCGACAAGTGTGTCCTCTCTCTCTCTCTCTCTCTCTCTCTCTGATCAGCGGATTTTCACAACACAGCAACTCATCCATAGTTACATACACCAATAAGTTATTTCTCTGTTTGTTTTTATACTAGGTTACACTGTTTTACACATGATAGAAAATTATTTTACTTTACAACAAAAAGAACTGATCAATAACATATCTGCGCTATCAAATAGCATGTAATCATGTCAGTGCACATGTAAAATTACAAATTTCGACAAACTTTAATGACCACAAACATAATTTCCTATTTTAATAAATTAACAGCCGACATTGTTTACAAAATGTTCATTGATCAAGACTAATTAACAGTATTGAGAAAGTTTTTTTTTAACCCCAAAATATTTTAAAATTTAAATTACAGTAAACATATAAAATGAAAGGCATCCTACCAGAATCATTATCGCTTTCGTCCATTGTCTTCGTATCCGGGATCAACAAATACTTCTATAATTCAACATGACCGAGTTAAAATACCTGTAAACAAATAATTGTAGAAATCGGGTGGAATTTCAGTTAACTCATGTGGAAATTTAAATGAACTAAATAACATTGAACCTTTTGTTCAAGTTATCTATATAGCAATGTTGACATACGACTAAAAAGATATGTTTACTTGATTGTGAATATATTTTATATTATATTGTACCTGACACTGGCACAGATTCGGACTTGCCTAAACAAGCATGAATTGTTGAGAACTATGGAGCCTTCGTATCATATTTTCCCCTTAAACTCTATCGAGGAATATATTCGTACATTGAACAGAAGTGAAAATACTATTTTGCTCCTTCTACTAATCTACTTTGTAATTAATAAGAGATCAAAAGACCTATTTCTAGTATTTATTTTTCTACATTTGTTTGCAATAAACTTCTTACAGATATCAAATTACTGTGAAAGCGAGACTTGATTACAAACATTTCTAATTACTGTAAATTGCGATGACACTGTTTCATACCTAGTTTATCTATTGTATCAAATTGTATCAATCACTGCACGTTTGTATCTTTTCTGTTTTTTTTGTGTGTTTATATTGATCTTTTCTGAGAATGTTAGGAGACGAAAAAATAGGAGCGATCAGTGGCATGAATAAAATTTTAAATCTAAAATTAAAACCCCAACCTTCTAATGTCATATCTCCCTAAGGAGGGTAGAGCTTTCGTTTAAATGTTATTACAGACACTTTCACATACTTTATGATAGAACCAACTAAATAGCTGTGTCTTTATAAACAACACCTAACATGTTTAACATATAATGATATTAACCCGAGCTTGATATTTCCAATATTTTGAATTAGATAAAAAAAAAAAGAGATTATAAATCTTACTGTCAACTTCAAATCTAGACGAATGTTTACAAAGAGTAAATACTGTAAACTGTACCTTTAAATTTTTTAACTCCAAAATTACATTATGGTGTTAACTTCAGTTTTGTTAAGCCAATTGTGGCCCTTATCGCACCTTCTACTTTCGGGGGAAAGGGAGTATGCTTTATTGATTGTTATTGTCAAAGAGAGAGAACTTTAAGATTTGTTTGTCTGTTCTAAACATATCAATGTACTACAATATGAAAATAAGAAGATGTAGTATGATTGCCAATGAGACAACTCTCCACAAGAAACCAAATGAAACAGAAATTAACAACTGTAGGTCACCGTACGGCCTTTATCAATGAGAAAAGCCCATACCGCATAGTCAGCTATAGAAGGCCCAAAATAACTACTGTAACAGGTCACCATAAATCATTCAGCAATGAGAAAACCTATACAGTATTAGAGGCTATAAAAGGCATAAGGGCAACCATTCCAAAGATAAAACCCATTTTCTGATCTACACATTTTGATGCACTAAATTTCAAATAATAATACTCCAAAGTTATCTTCTGGGGTTAATTGAAAGATATAAGTTCATCGTAGTAGATTATTTAGAAAATCGAGTACTTTTGTCACTAATTTTCAGTAGTATTGGTTTTACATTATTTACTATATTGTATTACGACATGTGACTTTTCATGCACCTAATGATTAGTATTTTGATTTCTAACCTTCTGGCATAAAACCTACAAACGATGAGTTTTCTTTTTTGTTATAGAACCCGTTTTGAGACAATAGGTTTGGCGCCATCATAGCAACAAAAGATAATGGAAGAGAAAAGATATGATGCGAGACGAGATAATGAAAATGAAAAACAAACAAAAAACGAAAAAGCATTCCAATGTTCCATTTACCAAATTTTAGCTCAACACAGTTTTCTACCTTCTCGTGTCGTTTATTTCTGATCACCATGCACTTTTTTTTTAAAAGCCGTAAAAAATAAGTTTAAACATTTAGATTTTTGCATTTTTTCTTTAATTTAAGAGAAATCACTAACTTATTACATCACCAAACATAAGATATAATTTCAAATATATTAAAAAGAAGTGATTTCGTATTAACCAATGGGTGCAGGAGTATTCTTAAATAAAAAAAACAATCATTTCACTTTCTATACTGTTCAAGTTTTCCGGCACTGTATACTTACAATTTATTATCGAGGTCACTGTTTCATAAGGATAAGGTAATACTTACTACACACCTTAGATATAAGGTATTGTCTGAACATAGCTATCTTTGTCATTGTTTAGATTATAAACTATCAGAAAATGAGGCTTACGACAATTTTCCTGGTTTTAGCCGTCTCAGTTTGTCGGGTGACTGTTTTTTGTTTTAACATAAACGCTGGATTGTCAAATTCACCTCCTGACATTTCCAAGACTGTTGCGAAAATATTGGAGGACAATCAATTCTTTAAATCGCAGTTGAAAGTCATGTCAGACGAAATTCAGCATTACAAATCGAGAGTTAACATTCTAAAAAATGATCTTGCATTCACTAATCGTGACCTTGAATTAACCAAGCAGAACGCTAAAGATACTAAAAATCGAGTAAAAGTGTTAGAACGCGAACTTCTATTAACAAAGGAAATGTCTAAAACAAGTACTGAAATCCCAAAGTATGATAAAGTCGATTCGATGAGCTATTTCCATTCTGGTAGAATACATATCAATATGAAAAACGGAAGTGATAATGGATATGAAAAGGAGTCGGTATACCAAAAGATCAATTTGCCTGACAATAATGATATTTCAAAGGATTTTAAGCGGATATTGGGTATGTTCATGTAATATATTTCATGCAATAATACATATTTTTTGTTAAAACAAAATTGATAAGGTCTACATCAACATAAGAATAACTTGTTAGGTTACGATTTACATTATATTATAAAGGCGTTGTACTAATAAACATTTTACTTTTTACTCACATAAGAAATCCAATAAAATCAGCAATTTTCAGGAATTTTGATACAGTTTAAACGACTTTTCTATCATAGTGACAAATAGTTCTACGGAAGCCGGTCGAGACCTTTCAGAAAAGAGTTGTTGTACTTTTCTCAGCATACTAAATAACATAAAAAAAAAATTTAACGAGAAGCATAAAAACAAACGAAATTTATTTAAGAAAACCAAGCATTTCTAAACAAAAATTTAAAAGTTAATTTGTGTATCCGAATTTATTGAGATTTGCGAATTAAATATGAAGATAATATGAAATTATTCTAAGTTAAGACTTGGGTTTGGCCGATCACGGCATTTACATACTAGGGAAAATTTCCCACAAATCAGAAACAATTTCTTTTTATGACTTTATTTCAGTTGATGGTAGTTTACCTCGGGTTGTTGCATTTTCTTCTACTATGGATAGTCACAAAGAAAACTTAGGTGCTGGACAAACCGTTTTGTTTGAACACGTCATAACTAATGTTGGAGGTGGCCTTGACCCAAACACCAGTATTTTTAAAGCGCCAATTACTGGTGTATATCATTTTGATGCTATAATCATGAGTCATCATGGAGAAGACATGGAAACCGAAATAGTTAAGAATGGAAATGGGCTTGTCAGACTTTATTCTGGTAATGGAGACACATGGGGTGTTGGTATGCAGGCGATAGTAGTCCAGATGAATGCAGGTGATGATGTTTGGGTTAGAGTTTATAACAATCCAGGCATAAATGATGGAAATGTTCGTGTTTATGGATTACTGTGGTCCTCTTTTTCTGGCTTTTTACTTCAATAAATGAGCCATCATGCACTGATTTCTTGAAGTCTACTTATACCTTAAGGTCAAATTACAGTAAATGGGTTATGTCACAGATTTTTCTTAAAATTTGGCATACAATCTTTAGCTCGTTGAACTTTAACTGACTTTTGAAAGAATAATGCATTTATCTCTTATTATCTTTGAAATAATACTGATTGAATTCCTTCAAAATTGGTGAACATTTGTATTAAAAGCACAAACAAATCGGTGAAAAACGTTCCTAAGTTTGTCTTTAAGTCAATAAATTTCCAATGTGTAATCCATAGAATTTTCTTAAAAAGCTATATGTTGTTGGTACAAAAATTTCCGTTTAATGATGTTAAATAATGACATGGTCACTTTTTGGAGAAAACTTGCATTCATACAGTGTCATGACTATCTATATTTTCAATTTGTAATTTTTTATAGTGTTTTATATAAACATTCAGATGACTAGGGTTATTCATTTTTGTGTCTTTGAACACTAAAAGGCCTGTCAAGAATTTGAAAACAACAAAATACTTCAATATAATGTTATCCAACTGTGTCTAAATATTACGGTTGAAAACTGTTTGTTGCAATATTGCAAAAAGATTTTTATGGTAACGATTGCCGATGAGATCCACAATAGTTTACACAACTACTATACCTGGGCCCGGTTGTTCAAAAGTGTTGTTAAGCTAACGCAGTCGTTAAAGTGTCGTTAGAGAGTCGTTAAATTTAACAAATTTGTTAACTGTTGTTCAAAAAATTTAACGACAAATGTAATGTTAAAGAGTCGTTAACTTTAACAACTTCTGGGAGGTCGATTAAATATCTAAGTTATTGTTAAATATGGCCGCCTTCATGCAAGTACCTGTTCCACCTCAGAGAAAAGAAAGGCATTTTCGCCTCAAAGATGACCTTTCTTTGAATTTGTCCAATGATGAATTAAGAGAAAGGTACAGATTTGGTAGAGAAGGAATTATGTTCATTTCCAACCTAGTTAGCAATGATGTATCAAGAAAAACAAAGAGAAACCATGCCCTCACTGTGCCACAGCAAGTCATGGTAACCATGAGATTTTTAGCCACAGGCAGTTTCTTGCAAGTAGTTGGAGACACAATAGGTAAGATTTCATTATATATTTATCATATGTCATTTAAAATTAAGTAAACATTGCCAATGTGGTGTTAATCGACTGCTATATTTATCTTTGGCTGATTTTTGAGTGATACTTTCAATTTGTTGATTTTCTATTAAAATAATATATAATCAAACGGTAAATACACATTTTATTTTTGTACTTTATCGATCTCCAAAATTGTATGTTGTTGTTTTTGGTCTGTTTACAGGTTTGCACAAGGGAACTGTCTCACGTATTGTGTCTGATGTTTTGAATTCATTATGTGACAAACGGGACGAGTTTATCAAGTGGCCGAGAAATGTTGATGAAACAAGAGGAGACTTTTACCGTCTAAGTGGTTTCCCAAATGTGATAGGGGCAATAGATGGGACACACATCCGTATCCAGGCTCCATCAGAAGATGAACCATCATTCGTGAATAGGAAAGGGGTACATTCTGTCAATGTGCAGGCTGTTTGTGATGCCAGAGGTAAAACATTTCTTTCTTATCTAATATGACATTGACCTTCATAACATAATAAACTGGTTTCAACTTTTTTGTATGACTGGGACCCCTATAGTCTGTTTCTCACATAGTACTTTCACTTTCACTCTAGTGTAAACCTTCATCTAGGACATAAAAGTAGGATTTTATATGGTTTACCTATTACAGGTAAATTAAAATATTGGTTAGTCAAATATTAAAAGAAGTTATTTGTCATTTTTTCGTCAATGAGAAAAAGATTCTGTTCAGGGGCCCAGCCATTTTCAAAAAAGGGGGGGGGGGGGTCCCAACCTAGGATAAAGGGGAGTTCCAACCATATGTCCCCATTCAAATGCACTGATAGTCCTAAAAAGGGGGGTTTCCTGGAACCCCACCACAGATCCGCCACTGCTGTTTCAGATACATTTCTTAAATTTTCCCTTTTAATCCAAAAGAAAGAAAGATTAACCTAGGTTAACCTACAGTACAATTTATAATTTTAATATTGCTCTGATGTGGATCAACTATAAAAAAAATTAAGATGCATTAGCACAATTGATTTGATTATTAATATCATGTTTTCCTAGTTTGAAACAATATAATTGAGTCATAATTTGTGAGTCTTTACATGCATTGTACATCTGAGTTATCATGGTTATTCATTGTGTTTTCTGAAATTTAAAGCAATTATACACTTGTAGTTGGAAATGTTTGGACACCCCCTTTCAAGATTACCATTACAATACTTTTAGATAAATGGATTCAAATAAATTTTATTTTTTGGTCCACTGTTGCATGATCCCAAATAATCCTGAGACTCTTTGAAACTCTTGCTACACCTCTTACATGTCTTAATTAGAAAAATATAATAATTAATAAAAGATAATTTGTTACATATAATTCTGTTTATGCTATTACAACATTTCTTTCTTCTTTGTATTATATATAATATTCTATATATTTGCAGGTAAATTCACAAACATAAATGCAAACTGGCCAGGTAGCAGTCATGATTCCCACATATTCAGGACTTCACAAGTATGTATTTTATAGCCATGTTAGTCATTCTTTTATTAGTCATATTCCCTTTCAAGCACTATATGTTAACAGTAGGAAGACTTCTTATTTTCTCAATACATATTCAAAATCTCTTATCTTGGATTGGTTACCGCTGCGGGAAGTCAAAATCTTCTTCTTGGACATAAACCCCCTATTTTTATTGCCTGTCATCATTAATATTTGTTTTTCCCTTTTTGTCATTACACTGATAAAGGTGTAAAAATACCAATCTGAGGACATTTGAATTTCATTTCAAAATAATGAATTTATCATTTCACATTTACATATAATTAATCATTTTAGCATAATAAAATTTGGATTAATGAAAGAAAAGCTAATACATTATACATATTAGATTGCAATTGTATTTCCATATCTTTAGTAAAGGATTTATATGTTAAAAAATCTATTATTCCATATATAAAGAAGCAACCTTTTAGTTTTAAGTGGGGGCTATGTTAAAAAAATATTGAGATACAATAACTGAAAAAAGAATATAGAAATATCTTTAGTAAATGATATATATGTTAAAAAATCAATTATTCTATATATATAAAGAAGCAACCAATTAGTTTTAAGAGGTGGCTATGTTAAAAAAATATTGATATACAATAACTGAAAAAGGAATATAGAAAAATAGTCTTGCTCAATATTATTTAAGGTAAACAGTGTAACTCCTCCGTAAAGCTTAATATATACATTTGAATTATACAAATGGTAGTTTTAACCAAATATATGATGTAAATGAAATATAAACCTTTATGTATAGGTGTGTACCTACATGGAACAAAATGGTCGATGGGCAAATGGTGTACTGCTTGGGGATAGTGGTTATCCTTGTCGTCCATTTTTGATGACCCCATACCAGAATCCTGTACAAGATCATCAGAAAAAGTACAATAGATGCCACTGTTCAACAAGAAGTGTGATTGAGAGAACATTTGGGAGGCTGAAGAGACGGTTCCATATATTACACTCAGAGGTAAAGGATAAAAAAAATCAATTCTTTATGCAAATGATCAGTGTCATAGAACATAAGGGAGCTACCATTTGATTTTTGAGGGGGGGGGGGGGGGTGGGGGGGGGGGGCAGGACAGGACAGGAGTTTTGAGTAAAAAAAAAGGCAGGATGACAATTTAGGTAAAAAAAGGTCAGGATAAACTAATAAAAAAAGCAGGACCGAATAGAGTGAAAAATAAAAAGGCAGGACTGAATAGAGGGAAAAATAAATAGGCAGGACAAAATTTTTCATCCTAGCCCCCCCCCCCCCCATACAAATCAAATGGTAGCTCCCTAAAAAATGCAGTTGATTAAAAAAAAGAACTTTCATCTTTTGTTGGGGTTCTTATCGCGTTATTGATTTGGATATTTTGAAATTGGTCCACATTGAGGTCCAAAAGGGTCCAAAATTAAACTTTGTTCAATTTCATCAGAAACTGATTTTTTTGTGGTTCTATATGCTGAATGTATCTGTGTATTAATATTTTTATATTGGGCCCTGTTTTCAAATTAGTCCATATAATATAAAATCTAAAAGGTCCAAAATTAAACTTTGTTTCATTTTACAAAAATTGGATTGATTGGGTTCTTTGATATGCTGAATCTAAACATGTATTTAGATTTTTAATTTTGGACCTGTTTTCAAATTGGTTCACTTTGAGGTCCATAGGGTCCAAAATTAAATTAAGTTTTGATTTTAACAAAAATTGGATTGTTTGGGTTCTTTGATATCCTGAATCTATACATAAATTTATATTTTTGGTTTTGTACCTAGTTTTCAAGTTGGTACAAATCAGGGTCCAAATTAAATGTTGTGTTTGATTTTTACAAAAATTATTGAATATATTAGGTGTGCTGAATCTTAACTCTGGTTTCAGATTTTGGATTTGGAGCAAAATTGGGAATGTCGAGATCCATGCAAAGGATCAAAAAATTAAATTTTGTTTGATTTTGGTGTATGGAATGATTGTTAGGTGTAGATGTCTAGCTGGCAGGTGTCATCTGACCTTGATCTCATTTTCATGGTTCAGTGGTCAAAGTTAAGTTTTTGTGTTGTGGTCTGTTTTTCTTAAACTATAAGCAATATGTCAACTATATTTGTTGTATGAAAGAATCATTACCTGTACTTGTCTGCTTGGCATGGTTCATCTGACATTGACCTCATTTCCATGGTTCATTGGTCAATGTTTAGTTTTATTTGTTAAGTCTGTTTCTTATAAACTATAAGTAATAGGTCAACTATATTTAGTGTATTGAATAATTGTTAGGTGTACATGTATTTCTTGTTTGGTTTATATGACCTTGACCTCATTTTCTTGTATCATGTTAAGTTTATGTGATAGTTGTAGTAAAGCTTTATATTTAGGACTATCAACATAAGGCCATAAAAAAGAATATGTTTGTTTGCCCTAACCCTACCTACCCAGAAAATATCTGCCTACTCAAAATCTTTTATTGTCTTGATGTGAAAAAGTTTTTTTTTAATCAGATAGGCATGAAGACTAAACAAAATCTGACACTTCAATTTCTCTTTGCCGAAAAAAAAAGAAAATGCCTACCTACCTACCCACTGTCTCTACCTTTGGGTAGGGTTTGGGCAAACCAAAATATTTTTAGGTGTGGCCTTTTATAGCAAGGATTAGTAAAGAAGGTGAGTCATTTCAGCGTGTGCACTCTTGTTTAAGTTCTAACTTCTAAGACCAAATTAACATGCTATTGTGAAAAAAAGGCAATAATTCTACATTACTTTCACTCTTTGGTTTCAGATAAGAATGACACCAAGCAAAGCATGCAAGATCATTATTGCTTGTGCTATTCTTCACAATATTTGCATCTTATTAAATGAACCAGACATTGAAGATGATGGAGTAGTGATAGACAATGATGGAGATCTTGGGGAACGTTTCTTTGGTATCAGGACGGAAGAGGTGTCAGAGACCACATTTCCTCCACATTTTTTAATCGCTGAAATCATGAATAAAACATTGAAAAAAGCTTTTTTCAGAATATGTATTTTATCAATAACAATAATTTAAAACATATAAAAAATATAACATTAATATGGAACTATAGATAAATGTTGATTAAAGTTACTGAAATAAAGACTCTAACATTGACTCTGTACAACTATTTTCAAAATTTTTCTTTATCAAATCATAAAACTCCATTTGTTTCTTGAAAAGTTCCATTTGGGTCCGATTTCTTTTTAGCTCGCTCTCTAATGCCTGACACTGCAACTCGTACACATCTTCTGCAGTTCTCTTGGGTTTCTTTGTCCGTTTATTCTCACTGAAATATATAAAAAAAAATTAATACTTGGTAAATCTTGTAAATAAATATAGTTATTATAAACCGGTATAACTATTTATGTAAAATTGTTTTTTCAAAGGCCAAGATTTCTACAACTTGTACATTAATGTTTCTACCTTTAACTAATAGTCTTTAACAAAAATTGATCATATTGAAGTTAGTGTTCCGGATTAATATTTAAACAAAAGGTGATGTAGACTTTCATTTAATTAATTCTACAAATGAGTATTTGGGATATTTCTCTGAATCTTACATTTAACTGATAGTTAAATGCGATAATTTGATTTAGAATTTAGATCCCCATTTACAGGACATATTTGATCATAAAAGAACAAGTTTAATGAAACAATTTAAAGGGAGATAACACTTGATTTTATACAGGGCTGCTGTATAAACTTATTGGCGCTTTAAGAATATTTATCAGTATTCAAATCATTACATAAGAAGATGTGGTATGATTGCCAATTAGACAATATATATATGCATCAGAGTCCAAAGGAAGCCCAATTAAGCCAAGTTATATCATCATAATCCCTTTAACAAAGAGCAAGTATATTCCAGGATGTATTCAGGTGTTTCATACACAAAATACTCATCAGTGATGCTCCATTTAAAAAAAGTTGCAGCGCCAGATATATACAATGCTAAAAGAGCATTCAGTACATACCCAACTTACTTAGTTTATAGAAATTATAAAGGCTGTTGTATTCTTTCATCTAAAACATATACCTGGCTTTTGGTGGTTGCTGAGTGCTGCTATTAGTAAATGAAAGAGGTATTTGGGCTGATAGGTTGGCATGTTCAGTATAAGGTGTTTCTTCATTTCTCTGATGAACCTGCTCCAGTCTTCTAATCCAGATACTCTCCACAGAAGATGGTGGTTCTAAAAGTTTTGATTAAAGAAACATTAAAATTGCCTCAGTTGATTGGGTATACATTGCATATGTGTTGAGTATATAAAAATAAGGAGGAATAGTATGATTGATTAGAAGACCTTGGGACAACTATCCACCAAATTGGAAATGAAGTTGATGTATATTTAAAATTGAGAATGGAAATGGGGAATGTGTCAAAGAGACAACAACCCCACCATAGAGCAGACAACAGCCGAAGGCCACCAATGGGTCTTCAATGCAGCGAGAAACTCCCACATTCCGAGGCGTCCTTCAGCTGGCCCCTAAACAAACATGTATACTAGTTCAGTGATAATGGACGTCATACTAAACTCCAAATTATACACAAGAAACTAAAATTAAAAATGAATATTTAAATGTGTCAGTCAAGATACATATATTCAAGACATAAAATCCCCATCAATTGAACAACGTAGGTTGGTGAAAGGTATGGTAAAAAAGAAAAAAAATAATATAGCCATGATAGCTGTTACTTCTTTCCATAAGTCATTATATTCTGTACTGTCAATTACAACTTTAGAAAATATATAAAGACCAATTGAATGAAAGTAAGTAAATAGATACAAAATTTACTTAAAGCGTGCTATTACAGAGACCCTGTATAAGACCCTCCATGAGTCATTTTTTTATACATATAAATTCTTTTCACAGCAATATATATCAACTTCAGTTCTTTAATTCAAATATTGATTCTGAAACATTACATCTTCATTTTTATGAAATGCAGAATTGTAAAAATAATAGCATAATGCAAAAATCTAAGTAATAATTACCATCAGCTGTCTGGCATCCTGAGACAGCAATCTGTGCTGGAATGGGTGAGCTGACAGGTTCAGCAGTATATATTTGATCAGATGATGAGCTTTCTGAAATAAAATGAAGATACATAATAATTTTATTTTTTTTAACAATCATTTTATTTTGGGATATTTGATTGATAATAAGAACTCTTCATTCGATCAAAATCAAATAAAATAATACTTGAATAATGTTATTCTTGTACCTGTTTTCTTGTAGCTGTCATATAAATACTATACACAAAAAGGATGAATATGCATGAACATTATTCCTGATTGCAGTGGAACCCCCCCCCCCCCCCCCCCCCCCCCTTTTTTTTGATGATCTATGCATTTGAATGGGGACCTTTTAAAATGGCTTGATCCACCCCTGTATTGATTACACTTACACTCTCAATTTTATACCAAATTATTTGTTACAAGGGCAAATAATCTCGCTCTTTACTTATGGTTACAATTATAATATTACTGCAATTAATTACCAGCCAGTGTTAACCTTTTATAAATCTATATCATGAACTGATTCATTTGATTAACAATTTGCTCAGCAATTTTTAATATAAACTATATATTAAAAACTGTTTATATCTTAAATACTAATATTTTATAAAAGGTTCCAGATTTAAACAATGATAGGTATAGGATGGCTACTATACTAATCCTGAATTTAATAATAACTAACAAATCAAGCAATTTAATGGGCTTTTTTTGTTGATAAAATTGATTTTAATGCTTAAAAGAAAGTAAATTTCTTTAAAAAATTTATTGTCATGTGTTTGCATGAATATCTTCTTTAGATACACACCTTGTATACTGAACTGTGTTGGTCTACTCTCACTTGTTTCTGTCTGCTGAGGAAACCCTGTAAAAATGATAAAGTGAAAATTACAAAAAAAATCAGGCACAAAGAAAGATAACTCAATTTTTAATAATGCATGTCTATTTTGAAATGGACTATAAACATGTCACAATGACTTTAGTAAAGTATCCAATGCAAGTTCGTTCTTTGTTGTATTTACAAATAACTTTTATTGAAATTAAATAATCTTTAAAAGTAAAAGGATTTTCTCTGAAAATTTTACTACAGCTTATTTTTTTTTTCATGGTGGTAAAACATGATGTAAGGGGCATTGCAGAATTGACCGCCAAAGGTGATGGCCAACACAAACTTCAGCTCTTGCAAAACAATAATTATACCTTTTTTTTATCGATAAATAGATTTGTATATGATGATTATTTCTCATCAATATCATGAGAAGGTATTTTTATATATCTAAGGTAAGAGAAAGGTTGCATTATAACACAACATAAAATTCTATTTTTAGCACATCGGCGACGTCTGTAGGGAATTTCGTTGAAAGGGATATCCTAATGTCAAAGCAGACGACGCACTCTGGCTTCATAATTTTCTGCATTATTTTCTATGATAGCAATACAAATAACCGTCAGATTTATTGTTTCAAAGGAATTAAACAAATTAATGGAAGCATAACATTGATTAGTAAATCTAAAAGTAAAATACTTGCCCACTGAAGTTTTCATCCCTTCATCTATTCCTTTGAAAGAGGAGGTGTCTTTTAATGCATTTATTATGTTCTCAGCAACACTTATTGGTTTTGGAGCAGGTCCTCCTCCTGTCTTGTTTCTCTCCCTCTTTTCATACACAAATTTTTCTTTGGCGTCTCTTGTGAGGTTTCTGAACTTGGTTTTCACAGTCAGAACTTGCCTATAGCTCACACCAAGAGCATTCACTTCTGCAGTTATTTTTTCCCACATTCTGTTTTTTGCATCAGCTGTCACATCCTTACCGAATTTCCCCCTCAGTAAAGCCAGTTCTTCAACAACTCTCCTACTGATGAGGTTAACTTCCATACTGGAAAAATTCTGCCCTCTAATTCTGGGAATTTTCTTGGGGGGTTGCTCTTCAGCCATTTTCAAACAGGAAGTGGAGGAGTTTTGGGTAATTTTTTTGGAATTATGGGAAAATGTTAAAATAAACAGTTGTTAAATTTTTTAACAAGTAGTTAGTTAACTCAGTCGTTAAATATTTTTGAACAACATAATTTAACGCAATAATTAGCTAACAACAATGTTAAAATTTAAAGAGTCGTTAGGCTTAACTAGTCGTTAGCTTAACGACACTTTTGAACAACCGGGCCCTGGTCTTCATAAATCATTCAAAAATTCAAAAATGAGTTAAGCTATAGAGTACTAGAAGTTAAAAAGACCTTATGACGACAATTCCAAAGATAAATCCAACTGTTTGATCTACACATTTTGATGCACCAAACTACGCATGTCAAATAATAATACTAATAATCAAAGTTCTATTTTGGTTGAAATAAGAAGAATGAAGTTCATCGTAGAAAAAATATTTAGAAAATCGAGTACTGTTGTCACTAGTTTGCATTACAACCGAACATTTTAGGTTAAATTATATATAATTTGGAGTAGTGATTCTACATTATTAACTGTTTCGTATTAAGACATGTTGCTTTTCAGGCACTTTATGATTAGTATTTGTATTTCCAACATTCTGGCCTTAAACCTACTACAGATGTTTTTGTTCTTGTTATATAACCCGTTTTGAGACAATGAAATAGTGCAATCATAGCAGCTAAAGATCATGAATAGGGAAAGATATGATAAAAGATATAGCAAAAAAACACATTACATGTTCCATTTACCACTTTTCAGCTAACAAGGTTTTGTACCGTCTCGTGTCATTGCTAATGAGATGCACTTTAAACCGTCCGACTTTAAGTTTACATATTAAGAGTTTTACGGTTTTATCAATTTCATGGAATCACTAGCTTATTGTTGAGATGTTCAGATATTACAACAATAAGTGATTTTAATTTAAAAATGTGTGATGGATGATTAAAAAAAAAATCATTTCACTTTATTTAGTTCAGGTCGCCGGCACAGTTTACTAACAATTGAATGTCGAGGTGACTACTTCATAAAGATAAGCACATACTTATTACAAGTTTTATGAGATATAGGATTGTATGTACATATATTGCACTCTTTGTCATTGTTTAAACTTTAAAGTATTCAAAAATGTTTCTAGCTACATTTTTCTTGCTTTTTGTCGTCTCAGTATGTCGGTCGGCTGTTTGGTGTTTCAATATCAACACTGAATTGTCGAATTCACCTCTTGACATTTCCGAGTCTGTTGCAAAATTTTGGAGGACAGTCAATTCTTTAAATTGCAGTTGAAAGTCATTTCAGACGAAATAGAGCATTACAAATCGAGGGTTAAGATACTAGAAAGTGAACATGCATATACTAATCGTGATCTTGAATTAACCAAGCAGAATGCAAACGATACCAACAATCGGGTAAGAGTGTTAGAACGCAAACTTGTGATAACAAAGAAAATTTCTAAAACAAGTGCTGAAATCCCAAAGTATGATGAAAACGATTCAGTGAGGGCTTCTCATTCCAGGAGAAAACATGTCAATATGAAAAATAGAAGTGATAATGAATATAAAAAGGAATCGGTATACCAAAGTTTCAATTCGCCTGACAATACTGATATTTCAAAGGATACTAAGCGTATATTGGGTATATCCTGGTAACGAATTTCGTGTAATATACATTATTTTAAAAAAATAGAATGGCAGTAAGTTCAGTATATACACAAGGAAAACTTGTTTGGTCACATTATATTATAAAAGCCTCGCAAGAATAGACACTATACTTTTGCATTCAATAGCGAATAAGAAATTACTTTTTCCAATACTTCATCAAAAAATCTAAATCATGTACATTGTCCAACCTTTTTAAATCAAAATCCATTATAATCATAACCATTTTCAGGAAGTATTTATTGAATTGACTGAGGTCGAATGAATTGTCTGTCATAATGACAACGAGTTTCGATTATAATGTCAAGAACTCATCAGAAAAAAAAGTGTTGCACTTATTCAGCATATATAATAATATTACAAAAATGTAAATTTAGCACATAGCATACAAATAATCGAAAATTATTTAAGAATACCAAGCCGTTTTATTCGAAATAGTAAGAACTTAATTTGCGTATCCAAATTCATTCAGTGTTTGCGAATAAAATATGAAGATAATATGAAATTATACTTAGCTTAAGACTAGAATTTTACATATCACAGCATTTTCGTAGGGAAAATTTCCCACAAATCATATAGAATTTTTTTCATAATTTCTTTTCAAGGGATGGTAGCTTACCTCAGGTTGCTGCATTTTCTTCTACAATTGACAGTCACAAAGAAAACTTAGGTCTTGGACAAACAGTTTTGTTTGAACACGTCATAACTAATGTTGGCGGTGGCCTTGACCCAAACACATGTATTCTAAAGTGCCAATTGCTGGTGTTTATCATTTTGACGTAATCATAATGAGTCTTTCTGGAGAAGACATGGAAACCGAAATTGTTAAAGATAGAAATAAACTTGTCAGACTTTAATCCAGAAATGGGGACACGGTGGGTGTTGGCATGCAGGCGATACTTGTCCAGATAAATGCAGGATATGATGTATGGCTTAGAGTTAGTAATAGTTCATACTATAATAATGAAAATGTTCGTATTTATGAACCTTTTTAGTCCTCTTTCTCTGACTTTTTGGTTCAATAAATGAGTCCTCATACACAGCTTCATGTCCTTGTTTGGCTTTACTTTTATTTCTTTATGTTTTTATTATAAGATATAAGATTTTTAATTATTTTGTGTTCGAGCATTACTGAAAAGACTTTTATTGTCCAAATGTTCATCTGGTGAAGTAAAAATTGGTACCGTTATTGTTATGAGCATATATATATATTTAAACAACAGTATAAAAAAATCACAACACAGAAAACTAAAGACTTAGCAACACGAACCCCGCAAAAAACCGTAAAGTATACATGGCAGTCATATTTCAAAGTCTTAAACATTTTGAGAGTATTAATAGCTTAACACGGTCATCGGAGTATTTGAAGTATATAAACATGTATGCATTGTTTGTAGGGGCGAAAACTTGCTTTTCTACAATGCCATGACTATCTATATCTGTGATCTCAGGTGCTCCGGAAGGGTAAGTAGATCCTGCTCCAAATGTGGCACCCGTCATGTGGTGTATTGAAATAAGTACTCATTGTGCACTCCTGCTGGCTGACTTGTTTTTGTAATCATATATGCATATGAAGTCATCGTTACACAAAATCTTTTCTCAGGCAGAATTAAGGAAAGACATCTCGCCAAGTTCGGTAGAATCACGTTAAATATATGTAGAATTTCCTGTCAATGATCTGACAAACCACTGGGAGTTACCCGTAACCTATAATTGCTAAATCATTGGATTGTTTTTACACATAATGAAACTATCTTGTGAAATATATCCTTTTTTAAGTTGTTTGCTGGTTGATGAAAATCTACTTCATTACAGCAAATATAATTTGCAAATAAATCATTGTCATGAAGATTGCGAAAAAATATAAAAACAGAGGGAATTGATAACCTGGATTCAGGACAAGATTAAAGCACCGCGTAGTAATTAAAGCAATTCCGGATTTTTCAGATTCCAATAACTGGTAAATGATTGATGCAAAGCCGTTCCCTAGAATCTTGTCCTTTGTGATGGATTAGTTATTGTATATTATGACACACCGGTCACGACAAAGCTTAACAACGTCATAGAAAAATAATAACAATAAAAAAAAATATATTACTTACAAAACAAATTTTATATGCAAAAGTTGATGTCACATTGATTAGAAACTAAGTAATATTACATATTTACTACTATCTATATTATTTCATTTCTGTTTGTTTAGAAAGTAAACCTTATTTCTAGTGCCTCAGTTCTAACTTTGATGTCTGGAAAATTGTACACGCACAAGATGTTTAACGACAAACGCAATGTAACACATTTGCCTTTAAACGTTTATTTTACGCTTATCCATTTCTTGTTTCCCATCCGTCTTGGAAACGTTTCATATCATACTTTCACATTAGGATTAGCGATAACACAACCTCTGATTGTTTACTAGTATTTTGAATTTGGCAACACAATTTAGCTATCTGTTGCATTGTAAAGCCTTGTCAATCACTAGAAACCACTGAATTTTAACATGATCAGTACGGCAGGTGTCGTCAGTGGAAACAGTTAGTACTGATTCGTCCACCAGAATAAGTCATCGGTTTTTTAAGCGGTTTGTTTGCGCTAATTTTTGTTTTCTTGGTGGTATTTTGTTGACTGTTGTTTGTCCATTCGTGTATGTCCTTAAGTCTGTCTGTCTTTTTTATTTTTGACTGCCTCCTTTTTGTTTTCCCCCTTCTAAAAACATAAGAATAAGATTATCACTGGATATAAAAATTAAGCGAAAAGTTAAATGATAGAAAGAAGGATAACTCTATTATTATCATTATAGATTCTCATTACTTATTCTCAACAAAGTCGGGAAAGTCTTATTCAAATTTTACCAAATTAATGAAAAGTCAAAAGGATGATTTAAATTAAATTAAACCATCATCTTTGACCTGTTTAATCAATGACAAATATCCTCGAAATAATGATCGACTATAATTTTTGTTTCCAATCATATAGTTTCAATCGGCGATTTAATCCAGTGGGAGTAATGTAAAGAGGCAGGGACAATTTCCCTGAATTATTGTCACAACGGGGCTATTTTTTCAAAAAGGCTTTCATTCTTTACTAAAAGTATCGCAGCACCAAGTTTAAAAATACTATGAGTTTTAATAAAAAAATATTGTTTTTTTTCGAAATAATATTCGACAGTACAAATCATAAATGACAACAGAAAGATCAAAATATTTCTGGATTGAACAGAATTTGTCAACTTTTGAGAATATATTAACAAAACGTTTTAACGAGCTTTCTTAATAATAACAGAAAAACAATGTTGGAATTAATCTGTGTATTTATCCTTCTGCTACATATTAAATGATGTATTCAAAAATTCCTTCAAAGCAAAAAAAAAAAAACAAAAAAAAAATTGAAAAAATTTGCAACACTATCAAATTTGTCTTCAACAGTAACACTAACATCTAAAACACTGTGTTAAAACTTAGTTTTAGGGATATATGCGAAATAATTAAACAAAAGCCAACATTGAATTAAATAAAAATTTTAATATTCACATTCTGTTAGATTCGTTTCTTCCTTTTTCGGCCATGAGAGTAAAACAAGCACATTCCTCTTTCACGGAAATTATGCTTCGTATAGCTCATACACGAATTTCTGTAGGAAATCTTTTTTATTTTAAAAACAGCAGACATACAAGATATTAGACATCTTACTGCCTTCAACAATGAACACAAGTCAAAATAGTTACGTGAGATCCATAAACACAACTATTCTACTTGATTTGTTCAAACATGGATCTTTAAATAAATGTTCAATAGAAAACAGTAAAATTACTACAAATATAATTATTTGTTGTCATTTGAATGTACAAAAAAGGAAAATTAAACTAATAAATTTTAAATCGACTTAGAAATTTTTACATTATGATATAACTTGTTCGTGTGAAGAAAAATTAATTATATAGTAGACAGTATTAATGACGAATGGTTATTTATGTTTAAACTGTTGAAAAGTGTGTATAATACCAACGAAGGACTACAAATATACATTATGATAGCTAAAAAAGTTGTATCGTCAAACTTTAGACGAAACTTGTTCAAAATGATAGTTTGGTCCACATGACATATTTTCTTCTCGTAGTTTATACAGTTTTGGTTCACTGTTGAATAAAACATTGCTTGGTGGTTTCTTTTTCATTAAACTTTCACTGTTATAAACTACTTTATCTGGAAGCTTTGTATTCATTAAACTTTCAGTTTTATAAACTCCATTATCTGGTGGCAACCTCGTTTTCATTAAACTTTCATTCATGCTTTGTTTATTATTTGGAGTTTTCTTTCTCGGTAAACTTTCACAGTTATACATTTTATTATTTGAAGGTGTCTTTTTCATTAAACTATCCATATCGTTTGTTGAGTATGAATTAGTATTATTAAACTTTCTTTTGTAACCTCTCGGAACACCAGGTGCTGTATACTTGGACATAAACGGACGAGGTGCTTCCGAATCAGCAGTCGAATCACTAACTTCCGTATTATTCCGTTCAACGTAAACAACTATCAGACGATACAGTAACAGAACTATCACCAATGAATTCTTTGAAGTGAAGAACATATTTGTGTAGCTAAGAACTTTGTACTTAAATATTAGCAAAAGTCGCAGCACAAGAAAAGGAGCATCTTGTAAAATGATTGATATAAATATCCCATACACATCAGCGGCACAACAACCCGTCTTTTGAAACTTGTCGTAATGTCTTGTTACTAGACCAGATTGATCTCGTCTCGCTCTCGCAGCTGTCAGAACGAGAGTGAATTGAATGAGGCTCAATGACCATAGCCCAAGAATAATAATACAAAGAAGTTTGTTGTAACGGACCTGAAAAAGAGTAATAAAAATTCATAAAAGGCATTACAGAAACAAAAATGAAAATTTTAAAAATATGAGTGTGACATTCAGATATATATCGCAGTAGAATTACGATGGTCTCTACCTCTGGGTTATAATACACGATTAATTATCTTGTATCATCAGAATGATGCGCGTTGGAAAAATAAAACTGTAGAAATAAACAAAAAATGTTAATAAATTGGTAACAACTTGTGAAATTCTTTAATGTTCTTTGTTGTCAATTTACAAAAACGAAGATTCAGAAATTTACTTTATATATTAGTTCTCTAACCATTAAGTAACTTGGGCACTTTTGTCTTTGTTTTTCCTCGAATTTTCATAACAATGAATTCATATACTCATTGAATGATAATAAACTTTACTAATTTCGTGCGTCAGGAGAGAATTTCTGGATTAACCTTCACCAGGAACGCTCAAAACATTTAATATTTGAAAAGCCAGGGATGTATAGATACGTATAGAAACGGTAGAAGCTATATCACCAAAACGGACCAAAATAAACATAGCCAAATTCGTCCAAGATCAACTTTTCCTGGGGCAGTTTGAACGTTACCTTCAACTATACATATTATGCTTATTTTGCGTTTATGACAAGTTAGTGTTACAGTGTATTATTGACGTAAAATTTAAAATTAATTTTGACAACTGAAACTTTTCCGTTTTGATAATTCACTACAAATTTATTTTCGATAAAATCTGTTAATTACCATGTATTGTATAGTGATAGGTAAAAGATTTAATTGAAAACGTAGTGTAAACTAAAGAATAAGCAAAGCTTTCTTCGAAATTCAAGTCTTCCATCACTCCCTGAAACCATCAATAAATGTCTGATGTGGAAGTTCATTTCGTTTTGGCTATGGCGTTGTCAGTTTGTCTCGACTAATAAGTTGTAAATATCCCCTTGATATCGTTTGCCTCTTTTTTATAGTTTTTTCATAAGTGTGTTTCTGAGTTTGTATACTTGACAGGTGTTTTTTTTTAGTTTTCTAAATCTATTCCGTAAACATCTTGTCATTTCAAGCTGCGTTTAAGGTTCATTCGCCTTAGTCATGCATTAGTAACTATGGTTATTTTTTATTCAAAACAGCAACGGTGTTTAAGTATCTTTGTACATGTAATAGGTAATACTACTAGGTAATATTAGGTTTCACATCTCTGTCACGTACAGTTACTTATTGTTTTCTTATTAGATGTATATATGACGAATAATTATAGCAGACAATTTGGAATGCTTTCCCATTCTGTACAAAAATTCGATCCCAAATTATCTTTCAATAGATAGGTTTTACCATCAAGGCAGTTGCAAACGTTATAACTAAGCAATGAAACTAATTTTTTGTTACCTGCTCTTCTTTGAAAGCCTCAAAGAATTCAACGATATCTGCTGCAGTACCAATATAAACCAATAGCAATTGAGATAACTGGTCATGTGTTAATTTTCCTTTCGGAAGTAACCATCTTCCCACTATTAGTATCAACAATAGTATTTGTTCGAGAGTACGAATCCACTGATCCGCAGACAGCAGAATTGGAAGCCTTATTTCCAGTTGAATCTGTAGCGAAAAATAATCTATGATAGTATGTGCTTAATGGAATAATATGCGAATGTACTAGAAAAGTAATTTGGCGACTTTATACTAACATCTAAAACTCCCGAAAAATTTGTACTTACGAACCATTCAGGGATTCGTTTATCAACAGAAGAGAAGAGGTCATTTAAAAATATTTAAGTAAAGATTGTACGCTTTTAATAAATTAAATTGACCAGTCACATCAACTGATATTAAATTTATTCATTACAGACATTTTATATGAACAAGTTTTATGAATTAGATTGAATTAATTTTTAACTAATTTTGAATTTTTTTTCAACTTTTGATACATGCAAAATAAAAAAAGTTCAGTTGCATATTTGTTCTTAGAATAATGGGGGAAGTGAATTGAAAAGAAGGAAGAAGGAAATAATATAAAAGTGATGGGACTAATTATACATAAAGCGACATGCAACTTCATATTGTTGTCTATGTCATTGTTCCGCAAAGTTTACCTGTAAATGGCTGGGTTTTTTTTTTGGGGGGGGGGGGCATTTCTCTGTTGAAACATTGGTTTACAATTTTTCAAAGTTCTCGTAAGATTGCCAATTAATATTGATAAAAAAAATATAGTAGTCCCCAAAAAGTGTAAAAGAAATAGCGAAAGAGCCGAAAATTAGCAACAAAAACAACCCACAACAATCCTTTATATTACTGTTTTCCTTCTGACAATTGGTTTAAGTTTTTTGTAACGGCGACTGTAAAGGTAACATCCTAAAGCATACTCAAACCGACCTATTCATCGAATCATCGTAACATCCTAAAGCATAATCAAACCGACCTGTTCATCGAATCATCGTAAAATCCTAAAGCATAATCAAACCGACCTATTCATCGAATCATTTTAAATACACCAAATACAAAATAAATTCCTGCACTGTAAGGAAATCACAAATGTCTTGTTAGAAGATTGTATTTTGACCTCCAGATGATTTTTTTTTATTTTATGTCGTTTGGTTGCTGTCTCGACGACGTAAATCCCTAATTTTCCCTTGTTCATTTAATTTCTGCTTTCAATTAAATGCTTCCATATTTAAAAGCATTATTCTTTTATGTAATTATAAATTTTACAGCGATACTAATAAACAGTTATAGATATAAACCAAACTTACCCCTAGGATGCTACCTAAGTTTGCACTGAGGGCTTCCAACGTCTCGTTAAAGGCTGTAGTGTTATTAGTGCTTATTTGATGATTAATTCGCAAGTCCAGCTCGTGTAACTCAAGGAACCATATGGCTGGTACAGTGCTCGTCATATATATAAACACACTTGGGCAAAACCTAAATAGAAGCCATCAAAATTAATTAAGTTTACTGCATTTAATATTTTGTTCATTTCGCGATAATTATTAACTAAAACCAAAGAGTACAAATTCAATGAAATGTAATGTAAATAATCTACGTTTTTAATGAAAAGCAAAATAAAAAATAGTCTAGATATTGTGTTGAGAAGAAAATTAAAAGGACTTATTGTCCAATAAGCTTGCTTCATAATCGACAGTTACAAAACATGGGCTCCCGCCAAACATGTTTAGCCCGCCACATTCTTTATGTGCCTGTCCTAAGTCAGGAGCCTGTAATTCAGTGGTTGTCGTTTGTTGCTGTAATCATATTTGTATTCCGTTCATTGTTTTTACATAAATCAGGCCGTTAGTTTTCTCGTTTGAATTGTTTTAATCTGTCATTTCGAGGCCTTTTGTAACTGACTATGCGGTATGGGTTTTGCTCATTATTGAAGGCCGTACGGAAACCTGTAGTTATTAACTTCTATGTCGTTTGGTCTCTGGTGGAGAGTTGTCTCATTTGCAATTATAACACGTCTTCTTATTCTTATATGTTTCAAATAAAAGATTAAAATAATGACTCGTAAAGTATAAACATATGGACCATTTTCAATGTGCACGGCATGCGTGTTTTAGTTTACTTTAATCAGGAGAATCATGAAACAAATACATTTAATAGCTGTCATGTACAGGTAACTAATATGAACAATGACTCTCCGTGTCTACGATATTTTGGTATCAAATATTAATACGAATTCTTACCGATGTGGCTATTCAATAATTTAAATAAGTGACACATAACACCATTTCTAAGATTACGATCGCGCGGTGATAGCAATACTTTAACTTGAACTTGGTCGGAATCTTATTGAACGAACAAAGACAGTAGAGATACCACATTTTGCATTGAATACATATTTTTTAAGATGCCAAAACCCAGTTTACACAAATATGAATGTAGCATACCATTTCCATTCTTTTCCAAGTTTCTTTACCATTGTGATCGTTGTTTCTACTAAGAGCAACCCTAATGAAGTAGCCAGGTACCAGTATCGACTATCTTTGGTGACGTAATAAAGGCGCCATATTGAAACAAGACCATGACATGCAAATAACAGACGGACGAACACTGCTCGCAATATTGTCAAGGAACTTGCCATGTTTATGACATCATTCAGCTACTAATCTGAAAGAATATAAAAACTTAATTATTTTTTAAAAATGTCGATAATACTAAAATTGAGCAAAATAGCATACACAGTATGAGAGTATAATGAACACAGCTCGATAACGTATTTGGAAAATACATAGATGACCAAGTTGTTGTCACTGCTTGTATTATTACCCAAATAGAATAGAGAATGGAAACAGGGAATGTGTCAAAGAGACAACAACCCAATCAAAGAACAGAAAACAGACCTAGTTCACCATTGGGTCTTCAATGTCGCGAGAAAATCCCGCACCCGGTGGAGGGCTTCAGCTGACCCTTGACCAATAATGTATACTAGTTCAGCGGAATGGACACCACACTGCACTCATAAGCTAACTTTAAAACCACTTCTGCATGCCGCTGCCTTGATTTCTAACCGAAGCCAGAATTTTAACATGAACCGGGCAACTATTGCAGCTTGCATTATTAACTTAGGCCAGCATAAACATGTACTAATTGATCTAGGCCAAATATTAATAGGCACTACAACTACTAACCAGCATTGTCCCAACAAAGTACTATCTCCTAGGACTATACTATATACTATAGCAAGATGTACGTTTCATGACAAAACAAATTATATAACCTAGGATTGATTTACTCTTACCAGATACCTAGCACAAATAAACAGAATTGATACTGTTCTGAACTAATTTTACGCACCGATATACTTTATTATAAATAGTATTCACCAGAGTCATAGCTATTGAAAAAAAAATAACGTTTAAAGCTCTTGATTTTTATATAGTTTTTGGTCCTATGCGTTTTTCTAATCTTTCCTTCTCTGTATTATTTCATTTGTTCCTAAAATATGCACGATTGGTCGCTCTGTTGAATAAGAAGAATACAAAAGCAAATCATTTCAATTCACCCAGATGAAGCAATTCATTCAGTTTAAATTTGTGAATGGCAGTTCCGATAAAACCGCAATAGATTTGTTGCAATTTGGCCTTCAGATGAAACTACATGGGAAATATAGTTTTGATTCAAATTGAATGAAAATTGAATCGTTATCATTGTTTGGCTGAAATAGTTACTGTAGTTCATAAACGAGATACTCCACTAAAATTTTAGCAGAGAAAGTGACTTGTCTCTTAGCATCCATATTTCTTATATGGTTGGGCGCTAACAAACATGTTTTACTCCGTCACATTCTTTATGTGCCTCTCCCAAGTGAGGAGCCTGTAATTCAGAGGATGTCGTTGATTGCTGCGTGTTATGTTTGCTTTTCCTTTATTGTTTTAGAATAAATAAAGCTTTTGGTTTTCTTGCTGAATTGTTTAACACTTTGTCATGTCAGGCCTTTTATAGCTTTCTATAAGGTCTTGGTATTGCTCTTTGTGAAGACCTTACGCGGTCGCTTACAGTAAGTCATTTGGTCTCTGACAGATAGTTACACCATTGGCAATCAAATCACATCACCTTATGTTTATATAAACCATATTAAATCGGTCAGTATAATCCTCTGTCTTTTTTACTACGGACGAAATTGGAACAATATGAGACACGATAAACCAGTGTAACGAATATTCATTTCCAATCAACATTATAACGTTATTATTTATACTTTTCAAATCAGTGCTATAATGGTATTGTAATCCACAGACTTCAGATCACGAGACGTAATTTTATCTTAATTACACGGCTAAATTACCTTTGGGATGGCTGATAAAGCGTAAAACTTTGCAATGTTGCTTTTATGAGAGAGAAATATACCCACACTATGCAGGGTTAATCACCGTCTCTCGGTTACTGCAAAGACCAAATCATTACATGATAAAATAACAATTTACAACTGACAAATCACGCTACCGCCAATTTACAAGATTAAAGAAATTTGTTATTTTAAGATTATAGACGCTAATTTTAATCATCATATTTCTAAGTATGTCAGTTTTGTGCTGTTAATATTATATATAAACAACGTAATGAAACAAAATCTGATTGTGGAAGGCATTTGATATTTGCACGTTTTCTTGTATGAGTTAAAGTCAAAGTCAATGTCAAATATTCTAATGATATAAAATCAAAATCTAGATTGTCTTCAAAAACAGAAAAAAAACCCATTCAAGATATAAATGCCTATTTCAAGGAATTTGTATAATAACCTTTCGCTGACTGTTGTTACATAATCTACATGTCCAAAAACAGACCGAAATTTTCAAACGGACCCAAAGTTTTACTATTTGAAGATCAAATATGCATATAATAAATATGTATTTTTAATTATTAAACGCAGTAACAATTTCTTTTTGTAACCAACTAAAATTAAAGATGCCAGATTCTTTTCAGAACTCATTTACAGGAATTACATTTCCTTACTCGCAGTTTGAGTAAAAATATCTTTCAATACCGAAAAATAAATTCGGTAATTGAGTGTGAATCCTTGATCTTTTACAGTGTGCTGCGCATGACTTCTTTTACTATGTATTTACTCCCCCGCATTTTTAGATGAAACCCATTCTGTCTGTTGTTGAATAATCATACAGAGGATACATAAAAGCAAAACTACAAAGACTGTTTGAGAAAAAAAGCCTTAGTAGACATGATATCATAGCAAAACAAAGATTTTTTTGAAAAAAAAACTTTAATAAAGCTAACATTATAATCAAGGAAATGCACAAACATGTTCAATTTACCATAACGGACATTCCCAAATTACAAGATATATAAAAATTAAATGCAAAGAAGCGGGGGAGGATTTTTAGATTATTGACTGACTTTATTACATCATATTTGTATGCAACAAAGTTCTTGGAGTGCTTTCCGATTTCACGTGTTCTGTCCTCGACCTGCATATATTTGTACACCTACAACTTCGAATCACATTTATAATATAGTTATACTGTCCCATGCTTTTATAATATAGTAAATGTAGTTTTATTACATTATTTTTTAAATCGAAATATGGCCAGATTCCATAATATCTGTTTAACATGCAGGATAAAATAAAAAAGCTTAGTGTAATCAGGCCGTTAGTTTTCACGTTTGAATTGTTTTACATTTGACATTTCATGGCCTTTTTTTAGTTTACTATGCGGTACGGGTTTTGCTCAAGATCGTACGGTGACCTATAGTTGTTAACTTCTACGTCATTTGGTGTCTCTGGTGGAGAGTTGTCTCATTGGCAATCATATCACATCCTCTAATTTTATATTTTAGTATGACTTTGTATCGGCTGTAACTATATGAATTCCAGGAAGACTAAACAAACCTCCGCTATGTAGGAGTTTCATGCTGAACTTCTCAAGGTCACAAAGAAACATCACTTGTTGAATATTTTAACATAACCTGCAAGTGTATTAAAAGAAAGGCGAAGGATACCAAAGGGACATTCAAACTCATAAGTCGAAAATAAACGGACAACGCCACGGCTAAAAAAAGAAAAAGACAAACAGACAAACAACAGTACACAAAACAACATAAAAACCCAAAGACTGAGCAATGCGAACCCCACCAAAAACTGGGGTGATCTCAGGTGCTCCGGAAGGGTAAGCAGATCCTGCTCCCCATGTGGCACCCTTCGTGTTGCTCGTGTAAGTACAAACCCGGTGATATGTCTATTTCGGTAGGTCACATTCGGGGAAGGGGAAGAGATTGTAGTTACGACGATTGGAACATATCCGTCGTCATCTGTGAAACAGATATTCCATAGCGGTCAACCAACTCGTGATGGCGTCCGTTAAATTTACGAAGGGATGACTTCAACTTCGTCACTTGGAACTCTTGGTTTAATAGCTTTCTTGTGAGCTGCAACCCTCTATCAAGGAAATCATGATAGGAAATACAAGCTCTGGAATATCGTATCAACTGGGAGATACATATTCCGTATGCAGGCGCTGCTGGAATGTTGCTAAATAGAAATGGAAAGTTCACAATTGGGAAGCTGAAATCATCTCTTTTTATCGTAAAGTTTTGTTTTGAACCGACCCTCATTGTCAAGTTCTATATGTAAGTCAAGATATGAGGCAGAATTAACTGTATCTGTTGTATCCTTTATTTCAAGTTCGATTGGATGGGTGCGTTCAACATAGTCACCAAATTTTGAATTATTTAGTGAGAGAACATCATCTATATAGCGGAAAGTGAAGTTAAAGGGAAGTGAAGTTAAATTATTAAGGCTACATATTTGTTACATTAGATTTTTTATAAATATACCAACGTTTATTACTAGAAATTTACTGAATCTAACTATAAATGGGAAATTGACAACATGAAGGAAAAGTCGTCCCGCTTACCAAAGAGAATAATAAAAAGACAAACAACAGTATAAAACTACGCAGAAAACAAGAAATTGACCGGCATGAAGCCCACATATTGTTAACACAAGACGAGAACTTCGATGTTCCGGAATTGAAAGCAGCTTTTTCTCTACTTGTGGTACATATTGGAATGCCCATGACAAGTACACATTGGATGAAAAGTAGCATTTGGTGATTTAACATGTAAGAAGTTAAGACGAGATTGAAGCGACGGCAAATTAAGCATATTTACGAGGTGGTATGTAATACGGACATTTTAAAACAGTTGACGAAATTATGATGGTGTCTATAGGATTAAATCAAACATATAACTTCAACTTTAATATAAAGAACCATTGGTTCTTTAGCTTTCTTGTAAGTAGTAACGTCTTACTTAGGTGTATGATTTTGAATGTTCGTCACTCGTCCCAGTCACTCGCCTTTTCAATAAACATATTTCTGGCTTCCATAAACTTAATAAACAGTTCGCATTTGGTTCAATGACCTAAACTACACATCAGAGATCTAATACAAAAAGCGAAGGTGAAACAAACATTTTAATTACTATAAAAAATACGGTGTAACAGTTTATTGGTATTTAACTTAGCAATTATAAACATTCTTGTTTGCTGAAAATATAAACTAAATTATTTTATATGATAATTTAATTATCTAAAGTATTAGAAGAAAGTACTATCATGTGTTGGTGGATTAAACTTCACAATATCAAAGCGT